AGGCAGCAGGTGATGGCTCAAGTACTTGGGTTCTTATTGCTCACATTGGAGATCCAAACTGAGTTCCCTGTTCCTTGCTTTGACCTGTCTCAGTCCTGACTCTTGCAGGCATTTAGAGAGTAAACCAGCAGAAGGTAGAAGGGCGCTCTCTCTCTCTCTCTCTCCCACCTTCTCCCTCTCCCTCTCCCTCTCCCTCCTCCTCCCCCTCCCTTCCCCTCTTTTGTCATTAATAAGAAAGGCTTGGGGTATTTTACATTATTGTTTCCAAATTTTTGTGACGCACTATGTATATTGTGTGGTGCATCTCAACTCATACTGGCCACATTTCAAGAGCTTAACAGCCACATACAGTAGTGGTAAACTAGTTCTGAAGTAGGCAGGCATACAGGTTAAAATCGATTCGCTTTGTGAGCTGGAAGACCACGCCTTTACCACACCCCTGTGTGACCTCAGGCCCCCTACCTGGCCACACCTGAATGCCCACTGGCCAATCAGGTTAATTAACCACTCCCTTTGGAAGGGGGTTAAAAGCCTGGGACGTGGTGTGTCCCCTCTCTTCTTTTCCCTGGCCTCTTGCCAGGAGGGGGCTTGCTGTAGCCCTGCGCCTCCAGGGCAGCTGGCCTTTCTAGCTTTCTGGCCTAGATGCTCCTCCACGTGGCTGGTTCCTGGTGCTCAGTATGAACCCAGATTTACCCTTCTCTCTTTTAGATAAAGCTCTCACTCTCCTACACATCTTTCGCACTAAATAGAAGCCTAAACTGTACCATGCTGCCTCGTTTATTTATGCCGGTATTTAGAATTCTTCTCTAAATATTTGGCAATGGGGCTGACGCCGTGGCTCACTTGGTTAATCCTCCGCCTGCGGCGCCAGCATCCCATATGGGCACCGGGTTCTAGTCCCAGTTGCTCCTCTTCCAGTGCTCTCTACTGTGGCCCAGGAGTGCAGCGGAGGATGGCCCAAGTGTTTGGGCTCCTGCACCTGCATGGGAGACCAGGAGGAAGCACCTGGCTCCTGGCTTCGAACGAACACAGCACCGGCCGTGGCAGCCACTTGGGTAGTGAACCAACGGAAAGAAGACCTTTCTGTCTCTCTCTCACTGTCTATAACTCTACCTGTCAAATAAATAAATATTAGGCAAGAACCCTCTTGGGCTTATTAATATTGGGGATTTATTAACAAGCATATGGTGATATATGGCACCCCAAATTTCGATAGCATATGTGGCTCCCCAGATGGGACTTCTGGGGAACTTTAAGGGGCCACATTTTCATATAGATTTTTAGGGGGTCATTTCCAATATCAGTTCTGGACATTAAAGAAAGTTAGAGAAAGATGGGGAAATGCTATCTTGTTACTAATTATATAATTTTTTTCAGTTTGTGGAGTCCTTTCACATTTGTTATCTTATTTGATAGGAACATACCCCGCCTTGGAGGAGAGATAAGATTTTAACAGGTAGAAAGTTTCCTTCAAGAGGAATTAGGAATTACATGTGTAGAAGCATAAGGGATCCATTAAGAAAAGATGTCAAAGGGCAAAATTTGAGAAGATAAATCAAGGAAGCGTTTACTGCTACGCTAGGAAGGCTGGACATTTTTTAACGTGGCAGGCAAAAACTGGTGAGCAGGAAAGCGGCAAAATCATATTAAAATACTAGCTGAATATAACATGAAAGGGAGTCAGGGGAGGCCACAGGTAGGTCATTAGGAAATCACTGCATGTTGGGAAGAAATGATCTAGATAGAGCAGTGGAGAGGGAAAGATAGGATAGCAGTGGTCTGGTGCTCAGGACTTCACTATGTTAGCTCCATTCCTGTGGCCACTGAGGATTTTTAAGACTTTTAGAAAGATCTCCTCTTCTTTGTATCTCTGTTTCTCTGCTTTCCAATAACCTTTCCAAGGAGATGACTGACACATGGCTTGAGAACTGAAAGAGGAGAAGGAGCAATGATTGCAACTCCACACTGAAAGATCAACCAAGTGCAAAGGACCTGAAGCAGAAATGAGATTGTCATGTTCAATCTGTCTCTCTCTCATTCAGCCAGCCAACCAACATCTCAACACTTCCTACCTTCCAAGGACTATGGTAGACCTTGAGGATAGAAGAAGGAACAGGCATTCAAGACTGCTTCCTGATGGAACAAGGACATAATTCTCCCTCATTGCAACAAGAGATAAACTTTGGAATGTTGGGGCCAGCGCTGTGGCTCACTTGGTTAATCCTCTGCCTGCGGTGCTGGCATCCCATATGGTCACCGGGTTCTAGTCCCGGTTGTTCCTCTTCCAGTCCAGCTCTCTGCTGTGGCCCGGGAAGGCAGTGGAGGATGGCCCAAGTGCTTGGGCCCCTGCACCCACATGGGAGACCAGGAGGAAGCACCTGGCTCCTGGCTTCAGACTGGCGCAGTGCGCTGGCCGTAGCAGCCATCTGGGGGGTGAACCAATGGAAGGAAGACCTTTCTCGCTGTCTCTCTGTCTAATAAAAAAAAAAAAAAATCTTTGGAGTACATTCCTTGCCCTTGAAACTCAATTGGGTCTCACACCCTATGGCCTTCATACCCCACACTGCATTCTTTTCCAGGTTCCCCAGGCCTCTCCCAGTTCCAGGAATTCCCCTCCCTGCTGCCCCCTACCCCCACCCCCAGCACTAGCCCTCCTTATAAAGGCCCGGCCCCTGGGGGTTGGGGCCTTCTGCCACGTGTTCCATTGATGTGCATGCAGGCAGTTGGTCCCCCACCTCTACAGCTTTATTTTCTTTGAATAAATTTGGTCTGGCTGTAAATTCATACATTGACTCCTCTCTATTCTGGGCCTCTTTTCCTAATATTTTGGTGCTCTGTGTGAGGAGGCACCAATCTGCAACTCTTTTCCTAACACTCTCCATTCCAGTTTCCTGCTAATAATGCACACCCTGGAGGAAGCAGGTGACAACTCAAGTACTTGGTCCACGCAGGAGTTAGATTAAGTTCTGCGCTCCAGGCTTTGGCTTGATATAGCCCCGGCTGTTGCAGGCATTCGGGCAGTGAACCAGCCAGTTGAAGGTTTGTATCATTTATCCATCCCTATCTTTCATGGTGGCAGGATCTAGGTTAAGAAAGGCTCTTGAGAAAATTAATTACCCCTTTCAATATTTTTGCAAGAATGATTCTCTGTGCTGCAAAAGTCTCAAACAAGGTGAAAACTATTGTCCTGTTAGGTACTTTTTTGGGGGGAGAAATGGACCCCTAAGATATCAATCTGAAATTAAATCTGTCAATTATAGGTATAACATACAATCTAAACATTGTTAAATACAAAATAAAATTATTTCCAAATGTAATTTCCTAAATTAAAAAGAGAGAGAGAATTTTCCATCCATCCACTGGTTCATTCCCCCAAATGCCTGCAACAGCCAGGGCTGGGCCAGACTGAGCTCCATCTGGAGTCCCACATGGATGGCAAAGATTCAAGAAGTTAAGCCAGCATCTGCTGCCTCTCACGGGAAATGTTAGCAGGAAACTGGATCTGAAGCAGAGGAGAAAGAACTGAAGACAGGCTCTGGGATATGGGATACGGCAGTCCCAAGCTGTGACCCAACTTTGGTGCCCAATACCTACCTGCGATATGTAGTTTTTATTTTTGAGGTGATTAAGAGCCTTTCCAAACAGAGTCCACAAGGCTCGAGAAATGGGAAAAAGGAAGCGACAGTCAAGTGAAAGTGAAGTAGGCAGGCATACAGGTTAAAATCAATTAGGTTTGTAAGTTGGAAGACCACGCCTTCGCCACGCCCTTGTGTGGTGTGTGACCACACCTGAGTGTCCACCGACCAATCAGGTTAATTAACCACTCCCTTTGGAAGGGGGTTAAAAGCCTGGGACACAGTGTCCCCTCTCTTCTTTTCCCTGGCCTCTTGCCAGGAGGGGACTTGCTGTAGCCCACTTGCTGTGGCCTTTGGGCCACCCGCCCTAGATGCTCCTCCACGTGGCTGGTTCCTGGTGCTGGGTATGAACCCAGATTTACCCCTCTCTCTCTTAGATAAAGCTTTCATTCTCCTACGCATCTTTCTCAATAAATAAAAGCCTAAAATGTACCATGCTGCCTCGTTTATTTATGCCGGTATTTAGAATTCTTTAAATATCAGGCAAGAACCCTCTCCTGTTTATTCATATTGGGGATTTATTAATAAGCATATGGTGATATTGTATGGCACTCCAAATGGGACTTCTGGAGAACCTTAAGGGGCCACATTTTTATATAGGTGTTAGGGGGTCATTTCTGATATCAAAAGGACTTGAGAAAGAAATGAGATAGTCATACTCAGTTGAGTCCAGCCCCGTGACTAAAGTAAATACCCATGAACGCCCAGGACACGTCTTTAATTAATCTGACTCCCCTACAACACTGACAAAGAGCAGTCATCAATAACAGACAAAAGATTCTATTCATTTTTCAGTATTTCCTCACAAGAATCGATAAAAAGAGCTCCACTCCTGGTGAACCCGGAGCAGAAACACCTGTTTAAGAGGAGGAACACGTGTAGGCGGGATCTGGCAAATTTATTTCCTTAGGTGGGGCAATGCAGTTCCTGAAGGCACAGTCACCACCTCAGGGCACGTCCCCGTCTAATCAAATCACGCAACCCTTAAGTGCCAAGACATCTGCGAAATTCCAGGCATTCTATTCCATTCGGAGACTCTTCAAACCACTTCACACTGGACAGCCTCGTCCAGCCCGCCTCTGAGCCTATCAATCAACTAGCAGGTGCCCTACTCTTGGGAAGAAGCCGTTTACGTCATATCCGCTCGCCTGTTCCAGTTTCCGCTTTACCGGAAGTTGCTAGAGTGACGAGGCGAAACGCCCCTCGGGGGTGTGGCTCCGCAGGAGCCAATGGGCTCTGCCCACCTCCCTCTGTGTCACTGCTTTGTCTAATCGTGGTCTGTTACGTTGGAAGGGCGGGTCGCGAAGGAAGATACGGAAGCCGAGAGGGGCAGGCTGCCCTGCCGCTCCGTAGCGGGGACCGGGAGGCAAGATGGTTTACATCTCGAACGGTGCGTAGGAGGGCCTGTGGGGGCGACCGCTGACAAGAAGGCGGAATCCCGGGCTCCCGCTGTTCGCTGGCTGAGCCCAGGGTCCGGTACGGCTCCCCAGGGCTTAGCACCGGGCGGAGCCGGATGCGAAGTCGGCGTGGCCTGTGGGCAGCTGATCCGATGGTTCCCGAGCCGCCAGGCTGGGCCGGGGTCCGCCGGCCTGGCCGCGGCGCCGCGAGCCTCCGTTCGTGTGTTTGCGACGGTGGTCTTTGCTCTCGGGAGTGGGTGTCTGGCGCGGACCGCCGGGTTGAGGCGGTCGGTCTACGCGGCTCTTGCGCCTCGGGCTTTCCAGCGGCAGTTCTGCACTGGTTCTTCCTTTCGGCTCTCGTTTGTGTTGGCTCTGGTTTGCGGGTGGAGACTCGGGATGAGGCTCACCGGGGTTACATGGCCTGCCCCGCGCGCGTCCTGAAGGTAGTCCGTGGCTGAGTCTGGATTCGAACCCCGGCAGCCTGACGTTAGCCTACCTGGTGTCTTCAACCATACGGGCTTTTTTTATTTCGGTGACGTGTCAGGAGGACGGAGCCGAGCTGGGCCGACCAGCACACAATGTTTGCGTAGGCTTTCTCCCCGAGAGGGCACACCTGAAACGTTCCGGCTGAATCTCGGTGGACGCGGGAAGAAGCACTGTTTGCTCTGGGAGCAAGCTAGTTATTACCGGGGGGTTGGGGAGAACGGAAGAGAGAGTTGATGCCGGGATTCCACGCAGAAATGGACGGGAATGGAATAGACCCGGTGTGACGGGGCAGATCCGAGGCAGCACCGGCCGCCCACCTGTTTGTGTCAGGTGAAATTCCTTGGCGGTTCTTGAGTCACTGGAACTAGGAGAGCCCTCTGTTTATTTCCGTCTGCTGGTTCACTCCCCAAATGGCAACAACGGCCGGGGCTGGGCCAGGCAGAAGCCAGGAGCCAGGAGCCAGGAGCCAGGAGCTTCTTCTGGGTCTCCCACGTGAGTGCAGGGGCCCAAGGACTTGGTCCGTCTTCTGCTGCTCTCCGAGGCTCATTAGCAGGGAGCTGGATCAGAAGTGGAGCAGCCTGGACTCAAACCAGCACCCATATGGGATGCCAGCTTTGCAGGCAGTGGTTTTACCCGCGACGCCACAGCGCCAGCCCCCTTTAGTAACACTTTTATGGCTGAGGCAAGCATCTTATCTCCTGCTGGGGATACTGGAGTGAAGGGGCCAGGGTGGAGTGATAACGTGCGTACAGTCATTTCTCAAATCACACAAGCAGAGCAGGAGTTGGGTTCCGATTAGATCTGTCTTTGCAGGGGTGGGGAATGTCTGGCCCACGGGCCGTATGAGCCCTGTGAAATCAGTTGTTCTGGCCCTGCCAAGGCAGCTGCAGGTAGGATGGGCATTCAGTGAATCTGTGGCAGGCTAGTTCTTAGGTTGGTAATTTCGTATTGCCTGCGATGTTTTAAATATCCAAATGTCCCTTGGCAGGAAAAGGTTCCCCACCCTGTGAGAAGGGTATCGCACTTCCTAATGAGAAAATAGTTCTCCTAACGTCACGTGACTTCCCCGACAATCCTATATTACTAGAATATATTTTCTCGGTGAAGGACGGTGTCACATCAGCCAAGCAGAGCTTGGAGCTCTTTTTTTTTTTTTTTAAAGATTTATTTATTTGAAAGAGCTACACAGAGAGAAGAGAGGCAAAGAGAGAGAGGTCTTCCATCCGATGGTTCACTCCCCAGATAATCGCAATGGCCAGAGCTGTGCCTATCCGAAGCCAGGAGCTTCTTTCGGGTCTCCCATGCAGGTGCAGGGGCCCAAGAACTTGGGCCATCTTCTTCTGCCCTCCCAGGGCACAGCAGAGAGCTGGACTGGAAGTGGAGCAGCCGGGACTAGAACCGGCGCCCATATGGGATGCCAGCGCTTCAGGCCAGGGCATTAGCCCGCTGTGCCACAGCGCTGTCCCCAGCTTGGAGCTCTTGAACCCAGCCTGCCTCCCGCCCTCTGGTTGTGTGGCGTCCTTTTTCCCCTCAGTACTTCAGCCAGAGCTTAGATGTGAGTGCCTTCCTGAGAGGGAGCTAAGCTCGTCAAGAGGAAAAGTGAACCAGGGTTTGGGGGGGTGGATGTGGAGCTCCTGAGGTCATGGCGAGGAGAGGCGGTTGACTGACAGCCGTTCCTTCTCCAAATATTGTGACCTCTTGATTGGCAAGGTCGAAACTCTGGAATGCACACTTTCCATGTTGTATTTTCTGTATTTATAGCAATCTGAAAAATAAAGTTTTACCTAAGATAAAGCAAGAGTATTGATGGAGTCAAGTTCATGCTGTTAGGGAAAGCAGTGGTCATTTTCAGGAGGAAGCCAAATTCTCCTCAGTGTTTAAAGCAAGCAGACTTTTTGGCTTACAGGAAAAAAAAAATCAAAATAGCTGCTTCTGAAGACTGGTAGGGTTATGTATAAACAGTATTTTTGTACAGTCAGGATTTTGCAAGTGAAAAAAAAAATATTGGAAACACATTCAGGAGAGTGTAAGCCATCGTGAGCTTTGCTTCATTTGTTTCCACAAAATACTTGAATACACAGGTGTTGGTGTTCCCTGAGTTCAGGGCAGGGTTATTCGCTATAGCTTAAAGGAAGGAAGTGTTGACACGTGTTACGCTGTGGAGGAACCTTGAAGACATTATACTGAGTGAAATGAATTGGTCACAAGAGGACAAGAACTGTGTGGTTCTTAAATGGGGTTCCTATACATGAGGTTCTTACATGAGATTCATAGAGACAGAGTGTGGCACTTGCTGGGAGGAGGTAATAGGGAGTCGGCTTAATGGGTGCAGAATTTCAGCTGGGGACGGTGACGAAGCCCTGGAGATGGATGGTGGTGATGGTTTACAGCAGTGTGATGTACTGAATGCCACAGAACTATACACTTAGAAATGACGATTAAAATGGTAACTTTTTAAATGTATATTTTACCTATAAAAAGAAGGAATATTTGAATAGAATGGAGTCACCCACTGTAGGTAGACACTAAGTAGGTGTTTGCTGTGGTGAAGGAATGATCCGTAGCCTCTTGAGCTTTACTTCTGAACCCTCTTTAGTGCACGCAGTAGGCCTCTCCTTGTGTTGAACATTCAGAACAGTGGACAAATTGACACCTGAGTCTGTCATTGTTACCTAATTAATTAAATGTAATATTTCTTGGGCCAGAAGTTTGTAGCATTTACTGAAATTTCTTTATTCTTGGCTGCAGGACAAGTGTTGGACAGCCGGAGTCAGTCTCCATGGAGATTATCTTTGATAACAGATTTCTTCTGGGGAATAGCAGAATTTGTGGTTTTGTTGTAAGTATAGTAATATTCTGAATTGCCCTGACTTTAGGTATGCTGTGCTGCATATCTTAGATAAACTCAGTTTTCTGGAAGCAGTTTTTAATTATGATTCATATATATATATTTAAAGATTTATTTATTTATTTGAAAGGCAGAGTTAGAGAGAGAGAGACAGATCTTCTATCTGCTGGTTTGTTCCCCAGATGGCTGCAAATGGCTGGAACTCGACCAATACAAAGCCAGGAGCTGGGAGCTTCTTCCAGGTCTCCCATGTGGGTGCAGGGACCCAAGCGCTTGGGCCATCTTCTGCTGCTTTCCCAGGCACAGGCATATTAGCAGGGAGCTGGCTCGAAAGTGGAGCAGCTGGGACTTGAACTGGTGCCCATATGAGTTGCTGGCACTACAAGCAGCAGCTTTACCTGGTACACCACAGGGTCAGCCCCTAATTATGATTTTTTTAAAGGTCCAATGCCTTCTATAGTTTGTTTTTTTTTTTATTTTAATTTATTTATTTATTTTTTATTAGGCAGAGTTAGACAGTGAGAGAGAGATACAGAGAGAAAGGTCTTGCTTCTGTTGGTTCACCCCCCAAATGGCCGCTACTGCCGGTGCTGCACTGACCCAAAGCCAAGAGCCAGGTGCTTCTTCCAGGTCTCCCAAGCACTTGGGCCATCCTCTACTGCCCTCCCGGGCCACAGCAGAGAGCTGGACTGGAAGAGGAGCAACCGGGACTAGAACCCAGGGTGCTGGCGCTGCAGGTGGAGGAGTAGCCAAGTGAGCCACGGCACCCCCTAATTATTTTTAAAAATAACTTTACAAAGGGAAATTCAGGTTTCTTTATGTGAGAAAGTTGCTGTCACCAAAATGTCTGCTGATGATACGTACATAGTAGTTGGGTTGGTAAGCTTGACCACGTCAGCCTGCAGCCAGGCCTGTCCTAATACCAGGTAACTGCACCTGTCTTTTCTGTTGCTGGCTTTCATAAAGTATGCACAGTATGCAACAAGTAAATAATGAGGAATTACATCTTGATTTGAAAAAAAAAAAAGCTAAGGGGACTTTTTAATGCAGGGCTGGAATTGATAGACAACAATGTAAACTTCTCTATAATTTTATGTAATTTTTAATTGGATTTTTTGCAATATCTGAGTGTCTCATAGTCAGAGAAGTGCAAGAATGGGAGGCGGCCCCTTCCTGCATTGACTTTGATGTCAGTAAATATCTTTGTGTTGCAAGGGGTCTTGGAATCGGTGTGACTTTGGGAAGAGGATGTAAGAGGAAGTGATTCCAGGTGGAGGAAACCCTGTCAAGAGGGCAAAGATGTTTGAGTACAGGCTCTGCTCCTTATCTTGAAGCTGATTGTAGTTGTAGTTTAGAAAGTTTAATTTTATGACTGCAAGTAGCATAAATTAAAGGGAGTAGCATGTAAAATGGAAGAGGAGGTTCTGTAGAAAGATCCAGCAGGGAACAAGAGAGGCCCTAAGTTAAGTTACCAGAGCAAAATTCACTGTACGAATTTCTACAAATAAGGAAAATTCTATGTAAATGGCTTCCCAGAGTCCCTGTGCCTCTGTCATACTGCCCTCAGCCCCACCTTCCCCGAAGTCTTACTAGGTAGGATGATGACAGGGGACGTTGTGGGTGAGGAATGTGGGGTAACTGAAAACAGGCTCTGGAACCTGACTGCTGATTTAGGAAGCTGGGGATGAGCTGGTTTCACGCTTTGTTTGGGGCAGGTGGATTGACATTGAACATAGCACATTGTGTTTGGACACAAGCTTGAGCCGGTGTTGTCCAGCAGGCTTTAAAGATGTGGACCTATGTGGGTCTAGTCATCCTTTTCACAGAGATAGTTAAACCAGGGGAATGCACGTTATAATTAACAGTGGTACTTCTTGTGTTCTGCTCCATGTTTCAGTTTCAAAACTTTGCTTCAGCAAGATGTGAAAAGAGGAAGAGGCTACAGAAACTCGTCTGACTCCAGATACGATGACGGAAGAGGGTATAGTCTTCTCTGTTGCTAATACCCCTTTGTAGACTGTAATTAAATAAGATATTTTAGACAGATATGGTTAGATTTCTGGAAATTAAATGTTGAAATCCCATTTCACAAAGTTAGTGTGTGACTGTAAATGGAAAGTCAAGTTGCTTCTAGTTTCGTAATTGAATTGATCTGAGAAAGCTGAAATACACATTGAGTCCTATGAGAAAAGCCTAGGAATTTGGCCGGCATTGAAAACTAGAGTTCACCTGCTGCTGCTGAAAACCAGGAGATGAAGCTGCGGGGCCCTGCTGGAGACACCGTGCAGCTGAGTGTTTAGGGGAAGCAGTCAAGGTTGTCACCTGCTACACAGTAGATCGTAACTTTTGCTCTTTTTAGGCCACCAGGAAACCCTCCCCGAAGAATGGGTCGAATCAATCATCTGCGTGGCCCCAGTCCTCCTCCTATGGCTGGTGGATGAGGAAGGTAACTTAAAATCTGAAATTATCTTGTGCCTGCATTGTGGCATAGCTGGTAAAGCCACTACCTGGAAGAAACTCTGGCTCCTGGCTTCAGATTGGCCCAGCTCCAGCCATTGCAGCCATCTGGGGAGTGAACCAGTGGTTGGAAGATCTCTATATTTCTCTCTGCCTTTGACAGAGAGAGAGAGAGAGAGAGAGAGAGAGAGAGAGAGATGTCTTCCATCTACTGGTTCACTCCTCACATGGTCGCAACAGCTGGAGTTGAGTCTATCTGGAGCCAGGAGCTTCTTCCAGGTATCCCATGTGGGTGCAGGGGCTTAAGCACTTGTGTCATCTTTTACTGCTTTCTCAGGCCCTAGCAGGGAGCAGGATGAGAAGTGGAGCAGCTGGGACTAGATCCGTTGCCTATATGGGATTCCAGCACTGCAGGCAGTGGCTTTACCTGCTATGCCACATTGCTGGCCCCTTAGGCTCTTGCTTTGAAAATGCTTCTAACGGTGCTATGGCGCAGTGGGGTAAAGCCCTGGCCTGAAGCACTGGCATCCCTTGTGGGCGCTGGTTCTAGTCCTGGCTGTTCCTCTTCTGATCCAGCTCTCTGCTATGGCCTGGGAAAGCAGTGGAAGATGGCCCAAGTCCTTGGGCCCCTGCACCCACGTGGAGACCCGGAAGAAACTCCTGGCTTCTGGCTTCGGATCGGCGCAGCTCTGGCTCTTGAGGCCGTTTGGAGAGTGAACCAACAGATGGAAGACCTTTCTCTCTGTCTCTACCTCTCTCTCTCTAACTCTGTCTTTCAAATAAATAAATAAAAAAATTAAAAAAAAAATGTTTCCTTAGGAATGTTTTCTTTGTTTTTTAAAAGGATTTGCTTATTTGTTTATTTGAGAGGCTGACAGAGAGGGGTCTTCCACCTGTTGATTCACTCCACTAATGACCACAGCAGCCTGAGCTAGGCCAGGCTGAAGCCAGAAGCCAGGAACTTTATCTGGGTCTCCTGTGTGGGTGGCAGGGCCCAAGCACTTGGGCCATCTACTTCTGCTTTAGCAGGAAGCCAGATAAGAAGTGGAGCAGGTAGGACATGAGCCGGTGCCTATATGGGATGCTGGTGCCGCAGGCAGAGGCTTAACCTACTACGCCAGAGCGCTGGCCTTAGGAATTTTTTTAGGAAAACAGACGTTACCTAACAGTTTGTAGTTACTCAGACACAGCTATTTGGGAAGATATATTGTAACCCTTGCAGAATTTATTTACTTTATTGTCAAAATGTCTTTTGGAAACAGTTTTATAATTGTCATATATTGGGTTTGTCCTACAGAGCCAAATTAATGATGAGTACCTGTCATGTTTTCTCTAGGTAAACGTCTGCTCTAAGGAGCAGACAGCTGGGCGTGCACATTCGTAGCAGAAGGAAACCATCTGGAACTGGGGCCGACCGTGCTGGCCGACGCAAAGCATGTGTGCGCCCGCACCAGGATTGCTCTGTGTCCCCACAGATGAATGATGTCAGGCTGGGAATTCCCTCCACAGGGATCTGGCCTGATTGAGATGCAGTTCTATAAATGCGTATGTTTGTCTCATCTTTTTGTATAGTTTATTAAAGTATTAATATAGTTTTAATAAGTAAATATTTGTAGGTTGCAAAACTGACTCCTCATCTTTATATACTTACACACACACACACACACACACACACACACACTCACCCAAAAACACCTCGGAATATGAAGAAAATAAATAAAGGCTGCGTACTCAGTGCTGTCAGTGTCACATCTTTCAGCCTCTGAAATATTGCTCATTGTTAATTTGTTCTCATTTCTAAGTAATAAATTGCATTGTATTTGTTCAATAATATGCATATAGTATCTGTGCTCTTGAGTTAATTTTTAATGTTTTCCATGAATCTTTAATATATCCTTTCTGATGTATTTGCTATCAAAAAGAATTAGAGTATTTATAAAGCCATAGCCAACAAAACTGAGCTACGAAATGAAAATCTAGTAGGCAGTCTTTGAAATCGTGAACTTCAGTACTATCTGACAAATGTGAATTCTGTACCATTGCTTACGATACAGCCTGTTGGCTTTAAACCTCATTTGAAAATTGATAACTTCGACATGCTCTATAGTGGAAACTTAGAAATGATGGATTTTGTTTTTATAATCCTTTGAAGAGTGACTACAAGTAGTAAACATTGAAATATTTATTGGAAAAATAATAGAGATAATTCTTTCAGTGTTTAGCAGTCTTTTAAACCAAAGTGTTGGCCGGTGCCGCGGCTCACTAGGCTAATCCTCCGCCTTGCAGCGCCAGCACACCGGGTTCTAGTCCCGGTCGGGGCACCGGATTCTGTCCCGGTTGCCCTTCTTCCAGGCCAGCTCTCTGCTGTGGCCAGGGAGTGCAGTGGAGGATGGCCCAAGTACTTGGGCCCTGCACCCCATGGGAGACCAGGGTAAGTACCTGGCTCCTGCCATCGGATGAGCGTGGTGCACTGGCCGCAGCACACCGGCCGCGGCGGCCATTGGCGGGTGAATCAACGGCAAAGGAAGACCTTTCTCTCTGTCTCTCTCTCTCACTGTCCACTCTGCCTGTCAAAAAAAAAAATAATAAAAAAAAAAAAGAAAAAAGAAATCAAAGTGTTTAGGTGGAACCCTTTTTTTATCCATTTTTCAGTATTTATTCAGATCTGTTAAGGTATGAGGAAGTGGTGGCAGAAAAGCCTGGCATTCAAAGAGAAGAAAGCATGTATTTTTTTTTTTTTTTTTAAGATTGGTTTATATGAGAGGTAGAGTTACAGACAGAGGGAGACAGAGAAAGGTATTCCATCCACTGGTTCACTCCCCACATGGCCACAATGGCCAAGGTAAGGAGCCAGGAGCATCTGGGTCTCCCAAGTCGGTGCAGGGGCCCAAGCACTGGGCCATCTTCTGCTGCTTTCCCAGGCCACAGCAGAGAGCTGCATTGGAAGAGGAGCAGCCAGGACTGGAACCTGTGCCCATACGGGATGCTGGCACCACAGGCAGAGGCTTCACCTACTGCGCCACAGCCCTGGCCCTGAAAACACACAATTATAACAAAAGCTTTAGCATGTGGTAACAGTCTATTGACCACGGATATGTGTCAGATGCTTGTTACACATTTAAAATTCTGACAAAACGAGATGGTCAGATGACACTTGTGTAGCAGCCCCCAAACTGATCAGTGGATGGCGGTCATTCTGTTGACAGGGGAGGCCACGGCAGGCTCAGGTGCTGGGTTGGGTCCTGCCGGCCTCTGAGGGTGGGACCCGCGGTGCTCTTCTGCTCCACAGGAGGGCCATGTACCTGGTTCCTTCAGGAGTCATCCCAGGGTCCTCCCAGTGTTTGATATTCAGCTGTCCCCCTCTGCACTTGAGAGGCACACTACTGCAGAGCACAATATCGGCGCCTTTTTTTTTTTTTTTAAGATTTATTTATTTGAGGGGCCGGTGCCATAACACAGTAGGTTTATCCTCCACCTTTGGCACCCGCATCCCATATGGGCACCGATTCTAGTTCCAGCTGCTCCACTTCCAATCCAGCTCTCTGCTGTAGCCTGGGAAAGCAGTAGAAGATGGCCCAAATCCTTGGGCCCCTGCACCCACACGGGAGACCGGGAAAAAGCACCTGGTTGTCACCATTTGGGGAGTGAACCAACGGATGGAAGACCTTTCTCTCTGTCTCTCCCTCTCAGTGTCTGTAACTGGCTCTCAAATAAATAAATAAAATCTTTAAAAAAATTTTTTATTTGAAAGAGTTTACACAAATTGTCCATCTGCTGGTTTGCTCCCCAAATGGCCATATCATCCAGAGTTGGGCCAGGCAGAAGCCAGGAGCTTCTTTTAGGTCTCTCACATGGGTGCCAGGGGCCCCAGGACTTGGGGCATCTTCTGCTTTCCCAGGCATGTTAGCAAAGAGCTGGACCAGAAAAGGAGCACCTGGGACTTGAACTGGCACCCATATGGGGTGCTGGAGTTGCGGGCAGTGGCTTTATCTGCTACGCCACAATGCAGGCTCCACAAGTAGCTAGTGTTCAAACCTTACCTTTGCTCCCCAACAGTTTGTCACAGAGTGAATTATTGTCATTTTAATCTCAGTGTCCTCATTTGTAAAATGGGGATTAAATTCCTACTGCAGGCCAGTGCTGCAGCAAAGCAGGTAAGGCCACTGCCAGCAGTGCTGACATCCCATGTGGGCATCAGTTCGAGTCTCAGCTGCCCCACTTCTGATCCAGCTCCCTGCTAAGGCCTGAGAAAGCAGTGGAAGATGGCCCAAGTCCTTGGTTCCCTGCACCCACGTGGGAGACCTGGAAGAAGCCCCTGGCTCATGGGTTTGGATCTGCTCAGCTCCAGCTGTTGTGGCCATCTGGGGAGTGAATGAGTGGATGGAAGACTTTGTCTCTCTCTCTCCCTCCCCCTCTATAACTCTGCCTTTCAAATAAATAAATCTTTTTTATTTAAAAAAAAAAAATCCTACCTCAAAGAGTTCTTTAGTCAACAATAGTTAATCAAAAAATGCTTACTGGCCACCTCCCAGTGCTGAAGGTAACTCCTCGTGGGACTGGCATTCTGGTGTAGGGAACAGTGAGCAGGCAGGCTGTATACAGACCAAGGCTTCCTTTGTACTCCAACGGACAACTGGGCGCCTACGGTGACGTTTTGAGTTGAGACACACGGGTTGAGAATGACCCGACCCAGGGAAGAGAACCCAAGGTAAAATCAACAGCAAGTGCAAGGGCCAGGTGATGAGGGGAAGGAAGCCATAGCTGGAAATGCCCGGGAAACGGGGGTGGGGATGGTATGAGGTAAAATGAGAAATGCAGCTGGAGAGCCAGGCATTCAGCCGGTAAACAGGCATCCCACATCAGAGTGCCGGGTGTGATTCCCGGCTTCCGACTCCAGCTTCCTGCCAGTGCTGACCCTAGCACTGTGTTCCTGCCATCCACATGCGAGATGGGGATTGCATCCCAGCTCAGCTGGCCCCGACAGCCCTGGGTAGATGAGCTCCCTCTTTTCATTTATTTGAAAGGCAGAGTGACAGAGAAAGGTCTTGTGTCTGCTGGTTCACTCCCCAAATGGCTGCAACAGCCAAGGCTGGGCCAGACTGAAGTCAGGAGCCATGAACTCCATGGGAGTCTCCCACACTGGGGGGCAGGGGCCCGAGGCGTGGGTGAACTCGAGATCTATTCCTGACACTGCAGGATTTGCTGTTCATTGAACGCCGAAGCTGTGAGCAAGCGAACAGGCAAAATGATTTGCTGAGATGGTGGGAATGGGAAGGTACAAGAGCCTGTACATCCAAGTGTAGACACCCAGAGGGAGCTGGACCGTCAGTATGGCAGGATTCTTCAGAATGACAGCCATCAAACTGAAAAACGTCAGCTCAAGAGCTAGCCAAAGAATTCCGACTTCAGGGACCGGACTGAGCACGACCAGCGAAGCCTCAGCTGGCCTGAGAGTCCGCGCAGCGTCTGGAGGCTAGAAGACACTGTATGGTCCTGCAGCCCCCACTCATCACAGCAGCGTACTCATCCACGGTCCCGCCCCGCCCCTACCGCGTCCCAGAATTCTCTGGGGCTGAGCCCATGGCGGCCATCTTGGTTGTGGGCAGCCAGCCGCGAGGCTGCGCGTGCGCCATGGTTCTTCCGCCCAGGCGGTCCCAGCAGTGGCGGCATTGAGTAGAGAGGCTGGTGCGCGTCTGTGGCGACAATGACCCAGGCCGAGAAGGGAGACGCGGAGAACGGGAAAGAGAAGGGCGGGGAGAAGGAGAAGGAGCAGCGCGGCGTGAAGCGACCCATCGTGCCCGCGCTGGTGCCCGAGTCGCTGCAGGAGGTGCGGTGCCGGGGGCGGGTCTGGGTTAGGATTCCGCGCTTCGGCCTGGGTCCTCCGCTTCCGGGCGCGCCAGGCAGCGCGTCCCTCCCTTGCGGGCCCCAACACCGGAGGGTGGTGTCGGTGGTCGTGGCCGGGGCCGCGCGTCCTGCGGGTTTAAGTGGCTGCAGGAGCAGTCGAGAGCGCCGCCGGCCCACAGGCAGCTGCGGCTGATACTTGGCGAAGGGCTGGTTCCAAGGTGAGGCTTTCTCCTTTGCCGAGGACGCCTCAGAGAAAAGAAAAAAACTTACTTCCAGCTTGGAAGCAAGGAAATAGGCATTAAGAGCCTAGTAGGCTTTAAGAGCTTTTGTGTCAAAACAACAAAATTAAGGCAAACCCGAAAAATTATTCAGAGTGGCATGGCTGGCAGACGACCTTGACTGATGCCTGTAGGTAGGCGGTTACTGATCTGTGAGGAACACACAGGGAAACAGGCCAACGCAGTGTGCAGCTCCCAGAAGTAATGGAGGCGGCGCGTGCCCACAGCTCTGAGCCAGCCCCCTGTCCCTTAGGTGGGGTAAGGATGTTACTTGTAGAGCGCCCAGTGGGTTGCCTGGCTCCCCCGAGGGTCCTTAGGTGGTTGCTGCTGCCCCATCTGGTCTCTCCGCCCATCTGTTGGAAGGGGCGGGCTGAATGGATTGCAGGGCGCACTTTGTCAGGGCCTGCCCCTAGGGGCGGCAGGTGTCAGAGCCCCCTGGTGCAGAACCGGCGCATTCGGAGGATTGACGGAGCTGTGGGGCCCACAAAGCAGTGAGTGAGGGTGTTTTCCAAGGAGGTGACCTCGGGGCTGCAGCGGAAGGTGGGAAGGAGTTAGCCGGGGGCAGAGGGAAATCTCCAGCGTGGAGGAGACTTGGATCATGAGAGGCCACGACGTATTGGAGGCCCCGCGGTTGGATGGGGTGTCTGGAAGTGAGCAAGAAGGTTGGCAGTATGGGGCCGGCGCTATGGTGCAGTGGGTTAAAACCCCAGCCTGCAGTGCCGGCGTCCCTTATGGGCACCGGTTCGAGTTCTGGTGCTCCTCTTCCGATCCAACTCTCTGCTATGGCCTGGGAAGGCAGTGGAAGATGTCCCAAGTGCTTGGGACCCTGCACCCATGTGGGAGATGTGGAAGAAGCTCCTGGCTTCGGATCAGCTCAGCTCTGGCCGTTGCGGTCATTTGGGGGGTGAAGCAGTGGAATGGAAGACCTCTCTCTCTCTGGATCTACCTCTCTCTGTAACTCTTTCAAATAAATAAAAATAATTATTAAAAAAAAAAAAAAGAGGTTGGCCGTCTTCACCAGGGCCAGGTTGGGGGGGGTGGTCTAAGAAGCACAAGCCTGGCTCTTTCTGAAAGCAGTGGCAAAATGTGGAAGGCTTAGCTGTGCTAAGAACCAGCGTTCCCTGCGTGCTTGCTGGTGCTGGCTCTGAGCCCCATTTAATTTTCTTTTTTTAAAGATTTATTTGAAAGAGTTACACAGAGAGAAGGAAACAGAGAGAGAGAGGGAGGTCGGTCTTCCATCTGTTGGTTCACTCTCCAATTGGCTGCAACGGCTGGAGCTACGTCGATTCGAAACCAGGAGCCAGGAGCTTCCTCCGGATCTCCCATGCAGGTGCAGGGGCCCAAGCACTTGGGCCGTCCTCCACTGCCTTCCTGGGCCACAGCAGAGAGCTGGATCGGAAGTGGAGCAGCCAGGTCTTGAGCCAGCACACTTATGGGATGCCGGCACGTCAGGCAGCAGCTTTACCCACTACACCACAGCGCCGGCCCCCGTTCATTTAATTTTCAACGTGGTTCTGCAAGGCAGGGACTTCCTCCAGTGCGAGGCGCTGGGCAGTCAGAGTTTGCAGCCAGGTTTGTGAATCCGGAGCCTGGACCTTGACCCTGGTGGCAGCGTTTCTCTGACTTCAGTTGGTCGGTTTTTCCTCGGCTTCTGTGGCATCCGCACTGCTCTTTGCTCTGTGACTTTTTTGCTCGCTCTTCCCTAAGTGATGATACGTTGGAATTGGTGTGTGGCGTATACTGGCTGGTTTTTCCTAGTACATCAAAACAGACTTGAGGGTGTCATTATAAAAGACACGCTATGGGAGACTGCCGTCAGTACCGCTGTCAACGTGCTGTAGCCTGTGCGCCATTCACAGAGTACCGGTGTCCCTGGGGGTGGGCCGCATTGTCTGTGTACCCCTGGCTGTTGGACAAGAGTGTCTGCCATAGCACAGAAAAGCCTGGGCAGCACCGTGCAGGTGCGCCTTGCCACGTGACAGCCAGCCGCATCATCCAGTGAGCACCTCCGAGGCTCCCGCGCCCCACCTGCTGGGTTGGAGCCGTGACCAAGACAGAAGTGGTCTCTTTGCCCAGGAAGTTTCTCGTGTGTTTGGAGGGCAGATGATAACAAGGGTGGCTGTGTCCTGAAAGGAAGGAACGCTGTGACAGTGAGCTGTGGACAGGCCAGCAAACCTGGTCTCAGACTGAGATTCAGCAGGTGGACCCAGCACTGCAGGCAAAGGGAAGTTGTCCTTGTGCAGGCTGCAAAGTAGCAAAGAAGTCAAAACAAATCTGGATGGAGAGGGTTAAAGAGACTGGGGAGGAGATGGTGCTGCAACGAGGCGGGGTCTTGGAGGGTCTCCACTTACTGGCCTCTGCAGCTTGGCCAAGAAGATGCAGCTATAGCTCCGAGGCTGGGTAGCACAGGTGCTGTGGAGTCAGGGGCCTCACTGTTGGCAAAGGCATTGTAGGAGCCCCCTCTGCCGCTCTCGGTGGAAAGCCCTTCGGCAAGCTGGTGCAGCAAGCTTCCCTCGTGTGGCTCACGGAGCTGAAGTGGCCACGTAGGAGCCGTGTGTGTAGCATCAGCCCCACACCATCAGCCCACTGTCCCTCACCAGCTCCCGAGAGTGGACAGTGAAGTGCAGCCCAGCGCTCTGAGTGACGGGGCTGGAACTGTGAGCTCTGGCTGCTGCTCCGTACGCTGTAGCTGGGTCAGAACCAGCGCAGGCAAAGTGTTTTATAAACAGTGACCCTTGAGGAATGCAGGGACACGTTCTGTGGTTGTCGACGTGTGAAAACTTCCTTCCCAGCGGCACAAAGTCACGATCCTGTTTGAACATCACTTTCTGCCCTGACCCCTGTGGCCAGTGGTTATCAGACCTGAGTGGTTACACTAGTGAGCCCAGGAGCTGTTGGAAACCACCGGTTCCCTCCCAGGCCCTCTCCCTGCCCTGGAGTTTCAGAACCAGAAAAGTTGTGGTGGAGGCATGGAATCTTTTTTTTTTAAACAGCTGTGTTTATGTTCATTCATATTTGTGGAATTGAGAACTTTTTTTTAAATTTATTTATTTGAAAGTCAGTTACACAGAGGAGAGGCAGAGAGAGAGAAAGAGAGAGAGAGAGAGAGAGAGAGGTCTTCCATCTGCTGGTTCATTCCCCAATTGGCCGCAATGGCCGGAGCTGTGCCAATCTGAAGCCAGGAGCCAGGAGCTTCTTCCGGGTCTCCTGTGAAGGTACAGGGGCCCAAGGACTTGGGTCATCTTCTACTGCTTTCCCAGGCCATAGCAGAGAGCTGGATTGGAAGTGGAGCAGCCAGGACTTGAACCGGCACCCATATGGGATGCTGGCGCTTCAGACCAGGGTGATAACCTGCTGTGCCACAGCGCCAGCCCCTCTACACTCTTTTTTTTTAAAAAGATGTATTTGTTTATTTGAAAGTAAGAGTTACACAGAGAAGGAGAGGCAAAAAAAGAGAGAAGTCTTCCATCCGCTTTTCACTCCCCAAATGGCCACAATGGCCAGAGCTAGGCCAATTCGAAGCCAGGAGCTTCTTCAGGGTCTCCCACAAGGGTGCAGGGGCCCAAGGACTTGGGCCATCTTCTGTTGCTTTCCCAGGCCACAGCAGAGAGCTGGATGAGAAGTGGAGCAGCTGGAACTTGTACCAGTGCCCATATGGGATGCCAGCACTGCAGGCGATGGCTTTACCTGCTACGCCACAGCGCCGGCCCCTCCTCTGCACTCTTTCATTCCTTGTCTGACTGTCTTCCTTGGTAAACAGAACATTCTTTGATGGCAGGGACTTTGTCCTGGTCACCATTGTACCCACAGGACCTGGCCCGTAAATGCTCAGTAATTATATGTGAATTTGCATTGGATAATCTTGACTTTATTCATGTAAGCAAATATTTGGTTTTATTCACTTAAACAAATGTTTGTTGAGCTGTGTATTCTGAGTCTGAGGGAGCACACATAAGTCCATGAGGAGCTTGCATGTGGATAGAGACAGTGATGGGGTCTCTTCAAGGACTGCCTTTGCAAGAGTTAACTTGGAGACCTTTGAGTCTGACAGCTGTTGCAGGAGAAGGTATTCTTAGAGTCACCCGTTAGCCGTGGACTCTGTACCTTGAGCGTGTACCTCTGTTTTACGTCTGCAGCAAATCCAGAGCAACTTCATCGTGGTCATACACCCGGGTTCAACCACCTTGCGGATCGGCCGGGCCACAGACACGCTGCCTGCCAGCGTTCCTCACGTCATCGCACGGAGACACAAGCAGCAGGGGCAGCCCCTCTACAAAGACAGCTGGCTCCTGCGCGAGGGCCTGAACGTGAGCCAGCCCTGGAGGCCCTGGGGGAGGGTCCCGGGAGGGCCAGCGCAGCTGGAAGGGGCATCTTCAGAGCTTTACCCTGCTGGAAAGGAACATCACTCCGAGTTACAAATACAGTTTTCAACTAAGTTAGTGATTTTAGGTGTTCAAGAATTACATATAACAAACGCTAAGTCCACTTTTTTTTTGAAGCCGTTAGGGTGAAATGAGTGTGGATGAGGGTGATCTTTCGTGGAGAAGACAGATTTGTTACTTGGAATGAGGTGTTTGGGTCTTTATGAACTGAGTGCTGTGTTCTCTTCCAGATACCTGTAATTTAAATCAAACTGATATTTTAGTCTGTTAGCAAGGTGCATTGCTACAGAAAGCATTTACTGTAGTCTTAGGTCTCATTATAATTTCAAGGCAAAAGTTACATACTTACTTTATCCTGACTTGCAGATGGTGGTTATCAGGAAGATTTTTTTTGGTGGTAGATGTGGAATCTTTATATTGCATCCTAATCTACTTTTAGCTCTCAAGTTTTCCATCAAAGATAGTTTCCAGTACTTACTGTTTCTGCAGTTCTGCTACTAATTGATTATTCTTTGTTGAGAGTTCTTCAGAATAGTATATCAGAAATGTTCAGAGTTCATTTTTTCAGGTTTTGGAATGTTTGTATAGACTTTTACTGTTCAGACATCCCTTCAAAAGTGTGAAATCCACCCGGGGACACTGACCCTGCGGTCAGCCTCAGGGCCCCGTTGTCAGTGTACCGAGTAGGCTGCACTTACGTCCAGTCGAGAGCATAAGTGTTACCTCCCTGCAAGGAAGCCTGCAGTTCATTCAGTGTCTCTGGATCTGCAGTTCCCTCCTTTAGGGAGTACATTTGAGGAATAAAAATCAAAAGAAAATCCCATTTCTGTAAAAGTACTTGTGAGTATGTTCTTTATGGTATCACACCAACTCGAATACTGATCAACCAGAATAAAATATTACGTTGTGAACATCAGAATTCCATAGGGCTATGGAAGAGTCTCTGAACTACTTTGTGAAGACAGGATAGGGTGTTCTTTCATGGGTGCCTTGAACAGTTTGACCAGTCAAAGGCCATGCAGGTAGTTGGTTTATAGCGAGGGTTCCTTTTTGACTTCAAGATTCCTGCGTTTGACAGAGGTTCAGGAGATGCTGCTGGTTGACAGTGGAGCAACTCCTAGTGGTGGGTTCAGTAATGGATTTGTCAGATTGCTTTGTGATGTTGCTAAATTCTCTTTATTGTTTCTCCTTCCATCTTCCCACCCAGAAACCTGAAAGTAATGAACAAAGACAAAATGGCCTTAAAATGGTGGATCAAGCAATATGGTCTAAGAAAATGTCGAACGGCACGAGGCGGATCCCTGTGTCCCCTGAGCAGGTTCACTCAGCTTTTTCTTGGATTTGTTTCTGCACCTCTGTTGTTTCTGACACCATTCACGTGTTCTCTCTGTAGTGTTATGTGAATGCAGCGTGGAGGTTTCTTATAAAGAAGGAAGGCCCCGTATGACCACTTACAGGATACCTGAATCGGTGTCACGGGTGCTTCCATAAGCCACATAGTGTGTCAGAGTCTGTCCTCATGGCAGCTTGATGAAGGGTTGCATTTCCCCGAGTGTCTGATCTCGGCAGGAGGCTGGATTCTTACTGTGTTTTTTCACTTCAGTAAACGAAGGCAGATATAATGAGTCTGTATTATATAGACATCTGTATTCAGATTGAAGCAGAGTGTGGTGCTAATTTTGGACTGGCTGTGAATCACAGCCTAGGTGTTAAAATCATTGCAGGGGTGCTGATGAAAATTGTGTTGGGATAGTTGTGGGGCTGCGCCTTGGGACTCCCACATCCCCTGTTGGGGTGCCTGGGTTTGAGTCCTGACTTAGCTTCTTACCCAGTCCTGCTGATATGCCTGGGAAGAGGCTCAAGGACTTTGGTTCCTGCCACCCATGTGGGTGATCCAGGTGGAGTTCTTGGCTTCAGCTGAGTCCACCCCTGGCTATTGTGTGCATTTAGTAGGTAAACCAGTGGATGGGAGATATCTCTCTGTCACTGCGCTTTTCAGATAAATCATTTATTTGAAAAATGAAAGGTGTGGGGCCAGCGTTGTGACATAGCAAGTTAAGTTGCTGCCTTTGTCATTTGCATCCCATACGGGTACTGGTTCTGATCCATCTCCCTGCTGATTCACCTGGGAAAACAGTGAAAGATAGCCTGAGTTCTTGGGCCCCTTGCTACGTAAGTGGGACACCCGGATGGGGTTCCAGGCTCCTGGTTTTGGCTTGGCCTAGCCCTAACTTTTGTGGTCATTTAGGGAGTGAATCAGTGGACAGATCGCTCTCTCTATCTCTTCCTGTGTCTAATTCTGCCTTTCAAATAAATAGAGTAAATCTTTTTCTTTTGTTTTTAAATGAAGATTGTGGAAGAGGACAAGAGAATCCTTTTGTCGGTATATTGCTAAATATCATGGCTTTATGATTGAAATTTGCCACTGGATCTGGTATCTGGGAGAGAGGAGAAAAGGGGACTCTTCCTTTTTGTCGTATGTATGTTCAGATAAGTTTATGATTTTCTTTATTTCCAGGCACGCTCCTACAACAAGCAGATGCGACCTGCAATTTTAGATCACTGTTCTGGAAATAAGTGGACAAATACATCTCATCACCCTGAGTATTTGGTGGGAGAAGAGGTAGGAAGCTTCTATATAAGGCATGTAAGAAGCCTCACCTTTCTCCTAAAATTTTCTGATGTTGTCACCAGTTCTGGTGGCTTCCTAGCGCTCTGTGATCCTGCTTTGAGGCCACATACTGACACGGACTCCCGGAACAGTAGCATTCCACTCTGAACGTTCAGAACACCCTGCAAGTGTCACTGATGATTTCTGGCCGTGGGTTTTTGGATGCGAATCCAGAAAAGCCCAAGCGTTTTGGTAATGTGTTCGTCTTCCTGTTGTCCTTTTCTAGGCCTTGTATGTTAATCCGCTGGACTGTTACAACATTCACTGGCCCATCCGAAGAGGCCAGCTAAATATTCACCCAGGACCTGGGGGCTCCCTCACTGCTGTGTTGGCAGATATTGAAGTAATATGGTCTCATGCAATTCAAAAATACCTGGAAATCCCCCTGAAAGATTTAAAGGTGAGCCAGAACTCCCAGCTACTGGGTTTTTCCTTAAGACTCTTGCTCAGTACAAGTGCACATCATCGAGTTGTTTGTAACCTGGGACCCCCGCAGCAGTCCGGGCCTGCAGGTTTGGGGATAGCGCTTCCCTCCGTTGCCCTCTGGTGCTTCTCTTCTTACTCTGTTTCTTTCCTTCTTCTTCTTCTTTTTTAATTTTTATTAATATAAGGAGAACAGATTTCCTGTATTTCATAGGTACAAGTCTAAGAAGACAACCATAACTGACTGTTTCTTTGGTGTCTGTCTCTGCCGCTTTGAAGTCAGCAAGCCTGCTCACGTTTACGCCTCTTCTCTGGACCTCACTCAGACACGTCGGACGCCTGAATTTTTATTTCACAGCTTTCAGATGCTTCCAAGGGGCAACAGCTTCTGCATTTTCTGTTTCTTTGTAAAACCCAAAGGATAGCACAGAGGTTTGAGCGTTCATCCTGGGCCTCTAAGCAACACTGCGTGTCTTCCCCAGAGTCCTCTGTGAGGACAGGTGTGGGCATTTGGCATAGCAGTTACATCACTGCGTGGGCCACCCACATCCCAAAGCAGAGTGCCTGGTTCAAGTTCTCGCTCTGTTTCTAATCCTGTTTCCTGCTAATGCGCATCCTGGGAAGGCAGCAGATGATGGCTTAAGTACCTGGGTTCCTGCCTCCCACATGAGAGACCCGGCTGAGTTCCAGACTCCCAGCTTCAGCCTGACCCGGCTCTGCCTGTTGAAAGCACTTGGGAAGTAAACCAGCAGATGGAAGATATCTCCCTCCCTCTCTCTCTCTCTGCCCTTTAAATAAAGACAGGTGTGGTCAGGGGCCGGCTTTGTGGTGTAGTGAGTTAAGCCACTGCTTGCAATGCCAGCAGCCCATATCACAGTGCTGGTTCAAGCCCTGGATGCGCTGCTCCTGATCCAGCTTCCTGCTGAGCCCCCTGCCACTCGTGCCATAATTGGCCTGGCCCTGACTTGGCTGTCACAGTGTTTTGGAAAATCGAAGCAACAGATGGAAGAGCCCTCTGTCTCTGTGTCTTATTGCTCTGTCTTTCAAATAAATAAATAGATTTAAAAAAAAAAAAAAAAAAAAGACAAGTATGATGAGATTTGACTTGATTGGATTTGAGTGCTAATCCTGTTTGCCTTTTTTTTTTATTGTTCTTTTTTTAGTATTATAGATGTATTTTGTTAATTCCTGATATCTACAATAAACAGCATGTGAAAGAACTGGTGAATATGATACTAATGAAGATGGGATTTTCAGGTATGTCTCACTAGTCCAGTGAAACCTGCTTTAACTGAAACTGTTTTTCACTGACAAAGTTAAATCTAGTGCGCTACTTTATTTAAATGCTTGTTCGGAAAGGATCAACATTGCTTAGAGCTCATCAGGTTGATATTTGTTTTGGGATCTTTCTTGTTCCACAGTGCATTGCCCCTCTCTTTCCTAGGGATCGTGGTGCACCAGGAGTCTGTGTGTGCCACCTTTGGAAGTGGCTTGAGCAGCACGTGCATTGTAGATGTCGGGGACCAGAAGACGAGCGTGTGCTGTGTGGAGGATGGGGTGTCTCATCGCAACACTCGGTAAGGAACTTGGGAGGTGACGTTTCCCAGCCCCTCTCCCCCCGTCTGCTCCACTGCAGGTTGTCACCATTTAGAAACTACTTGGGAGGAGGGATATATTCAGAAGTCTAGTCAGAATCCAGCAAGACCGTGGAAAGCTGGAAGCAAATCATTGCACCGTTCCCGCTGGGACTTTTCTATGGAAGTTCACACCAGCAGCTCCCATGTGAGCAGCGTCTTCTCTGTGGTCCGGCAGGGAGTCGCTGGCTCCTCCCTCCCTGGCTGCAGAGCTATACCGAGGCGAAACACGTAGGAGAGAATAGACCGTTGAGGTCTGACTTGTCTGGCTGGCTCGTGTCTCGGGGATCTGCTTCTCCCCACAGTGGTGCTCAGTGAGTGAGGGGTGGCGTCACTGAGACACAAGTTAGGAGGCTGTCGGGAACCCTTCCTGAGGCAAGCCTGGCACATGGCGCAGGTCAGCGCGCCCCGGCTGTCACACCGGGGTCCCCTGCTGCATCTCGTCCCGAGACAGCTTCCGGTCCCTGTGTTAAGGAGGTAGAAGCAGGCTTAAAAGAGGACCCAGCAGTTCATGGGAAGCTTCATCTGCTGCATGTCAGCCCAAGCTACAGTGCAATCTGAGACTCAGAGTGAGTCGTTTCGGCTCACCCCGTTGCTCAGAGTGTGCATTGCCAGTGGCTTTCAAAGCGTAGCAGTTGCTGGACTCCGATCTCCTAGCACTAGAAGAACGAGCAGTCGTCTTTCCACCTTGTGGCAACCTGCAGTGAGTGGAGAGAGCTTTTCTCCTTTAACTTTGTCCTGAGGCAGCAGGGCCTCCCTCCCCTCTGTGCTAGTGAGTACAGCCGGCAAGACGGCTGTGCGCGCCAGCACATGTGGACTTGGAGCAGAGCTGGGTTTCCTGGTGTGTACTGCTGCCAGCAGCCCCTCCCTGGGTCTGCTTGCGCTCCCCTCTCCCTCCCTCCGCCACCCCATCCCTCCGTTGGGTTTCTACAACAGGCACCGCTTCAAAGTTGCTGTGTCCAGTGTGCCTGCGGGGGTCCTGAAGCTCACTCTGCACCTTCGCAGCTGACGGATGACCCGCCTGCCCTCTTCTCTTCACCTCAGGCTCTGCCTGGCGTACGGGGGATCTGACGTGTCGCGCTGCTTCTACTGGCTGATGCAGCGGGCGGGGTTCCCTTACAGGGAGTGCCAGCTGACTAACAAGATGGACTGCCTCCTCCTGCAGCACCTGAAGGAAACCTTCTGCCATTTAGATCAGGTGTGCACAAACTGATAGGGCTGATTGCTTTTGTTTCCAGGAAAAATGTAAGGTAAATTAAAAGATAGCAAAAGGAAAAATGAAAATCAACAACGAAAAAGGAAAAGGCATTTAACACCGTTATGCTAACCTTTCAACCCACCTTGAGTAAGCCTTGAAGCTGAAGCTCCTAACTAATGGGAATGTTTGGTCAAGCGTGCAGAGGATGTGTCTCAGGCTGTAGAAAGCATGACTTGGTTTTGTTTTATTTTACTTTTTACTCATTTAAGAGACAGCTCCCTTCTACTCATTCACTCCCCAGATGCCTGTAGTGGCTAAGGCTGGGCCGAGGCCAAAGCCAGGAGCCGAGAAATCAGTCCAGGCAGGGGCAGGAACCCATTTACTTGGAGCCCTCACCGCTGCCTTGCAGGGTGCACGTTGGCAGGAAGCTGGAATGGGGAGTGGGGCCGGGACTCAAACCCAGGCCCTCTGCCATAGGGTGTAGGCTTCCCAGCCTGCGCCTTGCCCACGAGGCTGAACGCCTGCCTCCACAGCTTGTTTTTTTAGAGTTTATCAAATTTCCCTTGCAGTGGGAGTCTGATCATTCTGACAAAAAAATGAAGGTGAACCTTTAGGTATAGTGAGTGTAACAGGTAAACATACAGGAACACCATAGTTACAGTTGGAAGCACTTAGTATTGTGACCAGCCAGTTGATAATGAGTCATCGCAGTGTGTAGATTGCGGCCTTTTTTTTGTCTTGGACTTTTCTTTTTTAAAAAAAATAATTTTTTTTTTAATTTGAGAAATGATGGCTGTAAATTTTCTAGTTTTGGGGGAATCTGCCTATTTGGGCCAATATTTCAGTTAATGTATGTTGATAATGAAGAAGACAAAAATGGCAGACAGGGGAGTTTCAGAAATGCTAAATTGGGAAGCAAAGCGAGGGGTGCACAGGTGTGGGGCCTTCCTGGCGGTGACGGAGAGGCTCACGCGTGTTTTCGGTTCACGTGTGTTGTTGCCGGTCCACTGACGATGTCTTCTCCTGGAATCAGGACATCTCTGGGCTTCAGGACCACGAGTTTCAGATTCGGCATCCGGATTCTCCCGCCCTGCTCTACCAGTTTCGATTAGGAGATGAGAAGCTCCAGGTAACACTGGTGTCTGTTTCCAGGGGTGGGGAGAAAGCCTTCCAGGCTCAGTCTAACTGGGAGGACGTGCACCTGCCGGGCACCTCGCAGGGTCCGACCAACACCTGGTCGTAGGTTGCCGCAATGCTCAAGGATAGATTAGAACAGAAGGAAGACACCGTCAGCCGCCGCGTGAGGAGTTGTTAGAGCGGCACCCTCGTTGTGGAGTCTGACGCCCACACTTTATGTTTGCGTTGACACTTAGCTCATGTGGTGCCACGTCCGCCGTTCGGCTGCACAGTGCATGCACTTCTGGCCTTGCACGTCCTAAAGCAGCGAAGAACGGAACGCTGCCCGGCCTGGCCGACAGGGTCTCGGCTGCCTCCTCGTTCCTGGAGGAACACAGCTCTGTCAGTGTTTGTCGGAGGCGGGGTCTTGCTGACCACTCTCGTCCTTCCCTGCGCAGGCTCCCATGGCTCTGTTTTACCCAGCGACGTTTGGGATCGTCGGGCAGAAGATGACAACTCTGCAGCACAGGTCCCAGGGCGACCCTGAGGACCCTCACGACGAGCAGTACCTGCTGGCCACACAGAGCAAGCAAGAACAGGTCTGCAGCAACTCGAGGCCCGCGGGAGGGTTGGTGCTGAGCAGGAGATGGCTGTGCACAGCCTACCATCCCACTGACCCGAGCTGTTCTCAGAGCTGCCCACAGTCCGGCCTGAAAGCTGGGGGGCAGATTCCTCTGGAGGGAGACGCTGGCCCAGTCTTCTGAGTAGCGCTCTGTGCACTTAGTGCATTGAAGACTTTCCTCGTGGTGTTAAGTTACTTCCTTACACTGTCTCTTTATGAGGACCTGGGAGTATTTTTAGTAAAATCTCACCTCCTTTGTAATTACACTGTGAGAGATGTGTGGGATAAGCCAAGGTTCCAATTCCTTTATTCAGAGCTAGTCGTTGCAGGGGGGTGTGTGGTGTAGGGTGTGGATGCAGCTCTTGTGTGCTAATGACGTGTGTCTGTGCCTGCCCCAGGGGCAAGTGTGAGCTTGAGAGGTAGGTTCTGCAAGGGAGGATTCCATAGCAGCCGCTGGCCCTGGGTCCCACTACAGTAATCCTCTTCACAGCTCAGTATAAGCGGAGGGAATGTCCGTTGTGAGATTTCCGTGTAAAAACCCAAGCAGTGGTAGTACGCTGCTGAGACCCACCTGCCTGAGGCACAGTTGTCGGAGGACCCCGGCCTTCTGCACACGCCTGGTGTCAGGCCTCCCTGGGGGCGCTCATAGGCATTTGATTATGCGCTGTGGTGCCTTCCGCTTTGTGGGAGCATTGAGTGGCGAGGTGTGGAGGATGGGATCTAGCTGACATGTGGAGGATGGGATCTAGCTGACAGCATCAACAGTGCTCTGTTAACGATCGTACAGTCTCATTCATTGTCCCTTGATTAATTTCAAGTCTGCAAAAGCTACTGCTGACCGCAAGTCTGCCTCCAAACCCATTGGATTTGAAGGGGATCTTCGTGGCCCGGCTTCTGATCTTCCAGAAAGACTTCACTCCCAGGAGGTGGATTTGGGGCCCTCCCAGGGAGACTGCCTGATGGCTGGCAACGACTCCGAGGAGGCCCTCACCGCACTGATGTCTAGGAAGACTGCCGTCTCGCTGTTCGAAGGGAAGGCCCTGGGCCTCGACAAAGCCATCCTGCACAGCATAGACTGCTGCTGTAAGCACGCCTGGCGAGGCCAGGGCAGAGGGGGAACGGGTCCCGCCCAGGGCACACTTGGTACGGGGCAGCATGCTCATTGAGAGTCTGCAAGTCTGCAGCACCTGTGCTCCGTTGGCATTGCAAGCAAGGGGCTGGCAAGACAGCAGGGGGTTGAGCACATAGCCCTAGAAGGAGAGACCAAAACAAGCCATCACACGAATGGGGGATTCCAATGTTGCCCTAAAGGATGCTACCTGGGAAAGCTTGTGCCTGAGGGGTCCAACCAGGGGTTTGACTGACCCTAAGGGGAAGTACGGAGGGCGGGAGGCAGGGGGTGCTCAAGGGAGAGGCACAAAGGGTGGAGCATGGGCGGCAGTCGCGGATGGGTGGTGTCCCTAGAAAGGAGCGGCTTGTGGCATTCGGAGTGGCTGGGAGGCCCGTGAGGACCACCCTAGGCCGGACCTCGTGGGCCCTTGTAAAAGATCTTGGTCCTAATCCTGCAAGTTGCAGGGTGAGGGGCCCTGGTGGGGGTGGCAGCACGCGTCCCCTGTGTTCCTTGAGGTTCCCTGGCTGTGGTGTTGGGGTGGGTTGCGGGGAGACCTTTGGGAAGCCTAGTGCAGTTGTCTGAGCTTGGCTGGGAGTGGAGGTGGATTTGGGGAGGCAGCACGGGTAGAAGGGGTGTCGCTGTCTTTCCAGCATCCGACGATACCAAAAAGAAGATGTACAGCTCCATCCTGGTGGTGGGAGGCGGTCTGATGTTCCATAAAGCTCAGGAATTCCTGCAGCACAGGATCCTCAACAAGATGCCGCCCTCCTTCAGGCGGATCATTGAAAACGTGGACGTGATCACGAGGCCGAAGGTGCGTTCCGCCGACTGGACGCAGAGGAAGCCAGCGCTGGTTATTTGCGATTGTAAAGTGGGGGCGGGGGGGCAGGTAAATTCTGGGAGGTACAGGCATCTGTCTGGGGAGCTCCTGCTGGCTCGGAGCAGGTCACAGACGCGGTGGGGGAGGTCTGGCCGGGCCCTGGGTCCCTGGTCTGCGCCTGCCCTTCCCTCCAGACCAGTGCGGCTGACTTGCACCTTCCTGCCCGTTCAGAGGGCGCTGCCAGGCCCTGCGCCAGGGGCTCTGTCGGGGTCTTCTTGGCTTGAATGATCCTGAAAAGAGAAGGAAGCGCAGGGGTTGAGAAGGAGCTGTGTGGATCTCACTACGTTTCACTGAGGCTTGGAGGAAGTGTCCTACTTCACTTTGATCCTGGGACGAGCGTGAGGTCACTTCACGCCGCTCAGGCCTCAGGTGATCTCCGCGGGTGTCCTGCCTGCAAGGCCTGACTGTGCAGCAGCAGGGAACAGAACCCCACGCGCTGATGAGAACTAAAGCGTTCGCTTGTCAGTGGAGACAGACAGGGGTCTGTGGCTGCCATTAGGGCAGGTGGAAAGGCCAGCTCACTGGGCCGGGGTTTTTCCCAGCCCGGAGCTGAAGTGGAGGCGTGGGTGTTAGACGCCATGCTCACGCTGAAATGTGCTTCCCGCTCTCGCAGGACCTGGACCCCCGGCTGATCGCCTGGAAGGGGGGCGCCGTGCTGGCCTGCCTGGACACCACGCAGGAGCTGTGGGTCTACCAGCGGGAGTGGCAGCGCTTTGGGGTGCGCATGCTGCGAGAGCGGGCCGCGTTCGTGTGGTGACGCGGGCAGAGCCGGCCGGAAGCAAGCCTCATCATGGAAAGGACTCTGCAGAATACGTGGACTATAATTTATTGGCCTCGTCGCCTAAGCTTCCTGGAAAGTACCCGAACCTCAGCTTTACAGCAAGGAAACGGTCGTTGGGTTGAAGTTGAAAGCCATTTGTAGTCAGGATGTTGAAGAATAAATGGGCATTTCTTGCTCAGTGGTGAGCCTGCTGCCCCCGTGTCGGGGTGCAGTGAGCTCGTCTGTGAGGGAGACACCGCTGCTGGAACAGCCCTCCTGTTCCCTGACCCCCGAGTTCTCCTCTGCCTGGGAGAGCACTGGACTCTCACGGCCGAGTCGCGTGCACATGCAGAGTGGCTCGTGTGTCCTCTCAGAATTCTAAATTGGAGAAAAAGCGTTCTCTTTCCCCTTTTAGATGGATTGCAGAAGAGATTGGGACCCTTCAGGTGTAGATTTCCAGATGCAAGGACGTAAGGCTGGGCTGGCTTTTGTTACCAGACACTGCAGGGTGGGCTTAAGGAATGAGAACTGTTACTGGACCAAAAGGACACAAAAGCTGAGTAGGAAACCTGTTTCCTTCCCAAACAGAAGTGACTCGGGTGTAGTGCAGAGGTGTCCAAACAAGGTGATTGCTGCAATTACTCCCAGCGGTGTCACCGCGCCCCTCTCCTGTACCTGAACACCCAAGTGAGAGCTGTTGGAGTTCTTGAGGTTCCGTGTGACCAGCTGGCCCTAACCTGTGTGCATCCTGATACAAAATCTAAACCCAGCAGCCCCGCCCAGTGGTGGCTCCAGCCCTGGCAGCCTTCTGAGCCCCACAGGGGAGGGAGGGCGTGTCAGCCAGCGAGCACAGCTGGCCGGGGAGCTCGGAGACCTGGGAGGCGTGCGTGGGTGCCTGGCTCCTACCTGCTGCCACCATCTTGTTCACTTAGACAGACTGGGGAAGAGACGGAGGTAGGAATGCCAGGCAGGATGGGGAGAAATGAAGGGCTGATGCACTGGCATAAGTGAGCAGCCCATGTGACTGACCATGGAGTAGGCGAGGCACCAACGGAGAGTCCGCCAGGAAAACGCATCGTTTTGCTTGCTGCTACTGTTACGGATTTGTGCCTTCAATCTGAAAATCGTGTGTGCTGTTATTTTCTTAACAAAATAAACGTGCACAGTGTTGACATTGCTGGGCTGTTCCGTGGCTGCTGTGTTCAAGACCATCGTGTATCTCTGTGTGTGGTGGCTCTTCAGAGGAGGTCATGTCTTGTCCATAATCTGACGCCAGCTCTGTCCTCCTGTTAGCAGCACTAGTGAGCACTGTGAAAGCTGACCCTGACAGACAGCGAGCCCGGCCACCCATACACAGCGGCTCGGCCATCGCTGAGGACCTGCCTGTCAACCTGCGAATGGTGAGTGGTCACTTGACACTTCTCGATTGGGGTGTTCATTTTACCTGTAAGACGCAGTTACAGGAACCTCTCAGGGTAATCTGCAGACACGTGCTGCTCACATCCACATTCCAGAGCAGGTACAACATCTCCCTGTGAGATAAGCCTTTTAGAAAAGTACAGGCGCTGATGTCAGTACCTTTTTGTGACCTCTGCATTAAAAAAAAGAGGTGCTTTTAAGAAAATGTAGAGTTGGAAGTTTTTTTTTTTTATACATTTATTTGAGAGTTAGATCTTCCCTTTGTTCCCCAAAGGACCACAATGGACGGGGCTGGGCCAGGCCAAACCCAGGAGCCTGGAAGTTCATCCGGGTCTCTTATGTGGGTAGCAGGGACAAAAGCACTTGGGCCAGCATCTGCTGCTTTCCCAGCTGCAATAGGAGGGAGCTGGGTTGGAAGTGGAGCAGTGGGGATCTCATATGAGATGCCGGTACGGCAGGTGGCGGCCTAACCTGCTGCCACAGTGCTGGCACCTGGAGGGAGGTCTTAAAGTACCGTACATACCTCTGTTCTCTAACTCCGTGGTGCTTTCTGCCTTTGACTTAAATGAACCCTCATCGTAACTCGTTTTCAAATACAGATTACTTCAAGAGGGCTTATTTATTTATTTATTTATTTTTTTTTTTCTGACAGGCAGAGTGGACAATGAGAGAGAGAGAGAGACAGAGAGAAAGGTCTTCCTTTTTCTGTTGGTTCACCCCCCAGTGGCCACTGCGGCCGGCGCGCTGCGGCCGGCGCACTGCACTGATCTGAAGCCTGGAGCCAGGTGCTTCTCCTGGTCTCCCATGGGGTGCAGAGCCCAAGCACTTGGGCCATCCTCCACTGCACTCCTGGGCCAGAGCAGAGAGCTGGACAGGAAGAGGAGTGACCGGGACAGAATTCGGCGCCCCGACCGGGACTAGAACCTGGGGTGACGGCGCCGCAGGCAGAGGATTAGCCTAGTGAGCTGCAGTGCCGGCCAAGAGGGCTAACTTTTAACTTCAAGTTGTTTTTGACTTGAACACAAAGCCTGTAATAAGCAGGAAACAGAACTCTGACAGTGCTCTCTCATAGATAAGTGGGCACAATGGATACGCAGCCTGCAGGTGATGCGCTTTGCTGGAAGTCGCCTGTACGGGCGTTGGGAGGGGACTCCAGCTTGGAAAGGTCCCACACACATACACCAGGCCAGCTGGTCAGCACAGGTGGGCTCTGCTTGCTTATCTCAAAGACTGTTGTGCAGAACCTAGAATTTTTCACTGAAGTAGCTACTCAATGAATTAGTGAAGGCTTCTTTAGTAACCACTTTTTCCGTTGTTGTTGTTGTTTTTTTTTTTTTTTTTTTTTTTTTTTTTTTTTTTTTAAGATTCGTTTATTTATTTAAAAGTCAGAGTTAGAGAGACATCTTCCATCCACTGGTTCATGCCCCAGATGGCCGCCACAGCCAGCTCTGGGCCAGGCTGAAGCCAGGAGCCTGGAACTTCTTCTGGGTCTCCCACATGGGTCACAGGGGTGCAAGCACTCGGGCCATCTTCTGCTTTTCCCAGGCCATGGGCAAGGAACTGGATGGGAAGTGGAGCAGCCAGGAGTTGAACCAGCATCCATATGGGATGCCAGCATCACAGGTGGCGGCTTTACCCACTACTCTACAGTGCTGAGTCCTAGTAGTCACTCATTCAACTTAGAATGCTGCAGCACTACACAGTTAAGCCTGCAGTGCTATGCCTGGACTGCTGAAGCCTGGAGATTCATGGACGATGCTTTGTTACTCCATTGTCAGGGTGGTTATAGTTTTCACTTACAACTATTTTTTAAAAGATTTATTTATTTGAAAGGCAGAGAGAGAGAGAGAGAAATCGTCCTGGTTTACTCCCCAAATGGCTGCATACGTCGGGCCTGAAGCCAGGCACTTCATTGAGTCTCCCACCTCCCTGGGGTGCAGGGGCCCAAGCACTTGGGCCATCTTCCGCTTGCTCTCCCTCAGGTGCATTAGCAGGGAACTGGGTCAGAAACAGAGCAGGGGATGCTGGTGTTGCACCACTATGCCAGCGTCCATTAATAATTATTCTTGATTTGGGGGACAAAATTGATTTTTTTGCAGTTACAGTTTCAATCCTTTCATTCACAGTATAGCGTGTGGCAATACTTGTAACAATGTTGTGGGATCCGCCGGCCCGGCCCGTCCCACTCACTGGAGGCAGGCCTGCGTGTTTTGGGTCAGGAATGCTCTCTGTTCCTGCTGCTGAAGCAGGAACCTCAGGGTCGCCGCAGGTGCTTGTTGTCCCTGGAGCTGGTGGGGCAGGAAGGCCTGTCTGGGCTGAGCTACAGGGAGGAGCAGCCCACCGGCCCCTGCTGCGTGACGCGAAGGAGCTGCGTGCGCAGGGCGGCCGCGTCCCTCCAGAGGTGGAACCGGGGGCAGAGCCGGAGAGCGCTGTAACCGGCCGCGGCGGGAGGCTGGCTGAAGTAGACCACCAGGTACTTGCACGCGTGCGTCTGGCTCCCTATATCGCTGCAGAGCAGGTTATAGGCGAGGACGAACAGGTCCTGGGAGCCCCTCTGGGGGCCGCCCTCGCCCCCCGCACAGGTGCCGTCACACTGGGCGCTGAGCTCGTTGGAGAGCAGGAAGATGACCCTGTCGGCGGCCTGCTTCTCAGTGGTGAGCCACAGCACGGGACCCAGCTCCGCGACCTTCTGCTGCTGCCACTTGTCAAGGATGACCTCACTTCTGCAGTGGCTCTGGAGAAACTCCGCGAAGCCACAGACGGTGTGATGGAAACAGACTTCAGACGGGTAAACCACAACAACCTTGGCGCGGGGCAGCAGCGTGGTGGCTGGAAAGGAAGCCATCTGGGTCCTGCCTGGTGGGACAGAAAAGCATCTGTCATCTGCCGGCAGCAACCTGCAGGCTTTCGCTCTAGGCTCAGCCATCAGCAGTCAGACCTCGCTGGAGACTGGCAGCGGGCACTGGGGACCACGGCTGCCACAAAGTGAGGAAACGGGCCCCGGGCACTCAGTGGAAGCACACTGATGCCTGAACCCTAACAGTGCTTTAAAAAAGTATCGTGGGAGTTCCTGTCACTGCACCAGTCCTCGCCATTAAACTCTATTTCTTCAAATAAACAGATGGAAACCGCTGAGGTCTGAGGCCCTCTATGGCGAGTTGTCACCTGAGTGTTAGTGCCGTGTGTAACGGGGACACCTGCCATCCTTCTGAGTTGGGTCAGCTCTGTAGTTGCTGTGCCGCCTTCTGCCAGCAGGGGGCGGAGCTGCTTTAGGAGTCCATAAGGTTAAGTGGCGCCCCTTTCCTGCCTGGCACTTCACTGCCACTCTGCCCTGTCTGTGCTATGAAACAGAAACTGTGTGAGACCACCTCAACAAATGGAGGCCCGACAGCGGCCCCTAAATGGAAGATTCCTGAGAAGTCCCAGGTGGCTTTCTTAGCTTCGAAAGTCTGCCTCTGGCTGCATATCTATATAAACAGTACTCCGATTTCTGTACTCAAACAGCTCAGCATTTGAGACTTGGCCAAGACCTGAAGAGTAATGAATCCAAGCGGATTGCAGTTTTTTAAAAACTAAGAACCAGTCTAGGGTGTCTATCACAGGTAAATGCACTTTGTTAGTAGACCTGCTTTGCCCTTTTCAGTACTTGGAGACATTGCAGTGACAACAATAAAGCCAGCGGTGGCCATCAGATCTGACGTCCTGATCCTGCGTGACAGCCGGCAGGCGGGGGCCGGCCGTTCCCCCTGCAGGGTCTGCAGCAAGGCCCTGAGACTTCAGCAGGTGCCGGCTGCACCAGCAAACGCCCCGTGCAGATGAACTCCTCACCGGAGCATCTGTAACGATGCTGACCCTTCACGCCGCTTACCGTGCCTCCACCTTAGACAGATCCCAGCTGCCAGCACCCACACGGCCACCAGCAGCGGCAGGAGGAGGAGAGGGAGCCAGCTTCCTAGCACGCTTCTGCCTGGAGAAAACAAGGCTTCCTCACCGTGGGCAATACGCAAGCATACTCAGCTCCTGTCTGAAAACTGAGATGGTTTCTAACTCTGTGGAGGTTACAACCCCTTCCCAGCCAAGGTCTTTCAGGAGCCCGGCAACCCATGTTTTTTCCCACAATGCCCAGGTCTCTAATCAGTTCTCAAAAGGGGCACAGGACCCCAGAAGTCAGGAGCAGTCCTCTGACATCTCCCTGGCTTCCTACCCCTTAGCTGCACAGGCATCTTCAATGCGTAGCTGGGGTTTATACTCGGGTATTTGTTCTGGAGGAGTTAGTGCCACCCTTGGCTGTGAGTGCTTCCCTACACCGCTTGCAGAGACGGCATTGTTAAGGGCTGGTCGGTTAGGCTGACACAGGTGGGGGATGATGCCACCGGCTCATGGGATCAGCAAGGATAGGGACACTTGGGCCACTGAATTGTCCCCGGGTAGCATGGCTGAGATTCTAAGAATAGCAACTTGCAACTCTGGGCTGGTTCTGCAATCATCTGATGTGTCCATCTATATAAAGTAACTGACCCGTCTCTAAACCCAGAGAGAGATTCAGAACATGCTGCTCTCGGGGCCCCGGTGGGGTGTGTCTTTGGGGGCCAGGTTTCCTAATTTGTTAACCAAATGTGGGTGGTGTGGCCACATCATGTCACAGTCACAGCGCAGCCTGGGCAGCGGAGACTGACAAAAGGTCCCGGTGCGGTAGGTGCGTGTTCCCGCAGTCCTCTGTCCTCTTACAACACGACCTGTCTCTGGGGCTCTAGCACCTGTTCACACTGCTAGATTCCCCACCCCCCACACCACCCCCCCATCCTGCTGCGTGGAGGATCAGGAGAGGTCTTAAAAATGAAGCCGTCGCTTTCCCTCAAGCTTTCCCTGTCTCTGGGACAGCACTGCCATCTTCCCCGGCACCCCAGTGGAGTGCACGCCCTCTCCTCACCCTCCACGCAGACACTAGTGGCCACCTAGTGACGGGAGCAGTGGCGCTGAGCCCTTCGTGTCCTGGTCCTCCTTGGTCATCTGGTGATGACCGGGCACTTACTGGTGTCTGGGAGGCTGGGGGTGTCTGGCTGTGGGCAAAGCACAACAGTTCCTTTGCGTCGGATGCAGTCGTTGCCACAGGTGCGGAAATACGGGGTCAGCTGAGGGAAGACGGGAGGCTCAGAGCAGGTCGCGGGGGCTCGGCGTGCCTCCTGCTTCCCTCAAAGCGCCCCTTCCAGCCCTGCCTCTTCCACCGCCAAGGACATTTCCCCCTCGGTCACACTTCCGTGACAGTCTGCAAAGGCAAACCAGTGAGACCAGCACCGCTTCCAGGGCCCAGGGTCCGGAACCCAGACACGGTGCACGTGGCCGACGTGCTCGTTTGTTTATCTTAGAGGGCTGGGCACATCTGGCCACGGGCGAGTGATTTTCCTAGGAAAACACCGCAGTGGTGCCTCTGTTGATTCAGGCCATGCCTTTATGACACAGGGGTCCCTGGGACCAGGGAGGTTTGTGGGCTCCTGGAAAATGGGTGCAGCCACGCTGACCTCTGGTGCATGAGGGCACTGCCCTGGAGTTTCAGGGAGCCGGGAACAAAGGTTCCTTATTGTGTGGCTGTGTCCCAGCTGGGTAGTCCGTGTTCCCGCATCGTAGACTCAGAGTCCACAGAGACCTGAGAACAACCCTGGGCTCCCAGGACAGGCAGTTCTCCAAGTTCACACACTGATCCGGAACCCACACCTTCCAATTTCAAATCCTTTGCCACCTTCACTTTGCAGTTAGAACTGTGGCTTGGGGAGCTAAAAGGGTGCTTCTGTCTCAGAATTACTCTGAGGGTCTCTGACAGAAAAAGGAAAAGCAGGGGCCAGCATTGTGGCCCAGCAGGTTAAGCCACCGCTGGCTATGCCGACATCCAGTATGGTAGTGCTAGTTCAAGTCCCAGCTGCTCCACTTCCGATTCAGTTCCTGCTGAATGTGCCTGGAAAGGCGGGAGATGATGGGCCGAGTGCTTGGGCCCCTGCCACTCATGTGGGAGACCCGGATTGAGTTCCAGCCTCCTAGCTTTTGCCTGGGCCAGCCCTGGCCGTTTTAGGTATGTGGGGAGTGAACCAGCAGTGGAAAATCTGTCTCTCCCTCCCCGTCACTCTGCCTTTCAAAAAATAAAAGTAAAATAAACTAAATGCCAGGAGAAGCACTTTGGAAAGTGGACATTCAGTCCCAGGAGCAAGGCCAGCGCTTTCTGAGCTCAGCACCTTGGAGACTGCAGGGGGCAGCCCCCGGGAAGCTCCCAAGATGCCGGCAGAAGCACGTCTGGCGGGAGGGAACTCGCTCCTCCTTGCAAGGACTCCTCAGAAGCCATGAGCGGTGGAGGGCTTGGGGGAGTTGGTCTTTCAGTGTCTTCCCCCACCCCCAATCTGGGGCCCTCGTTCCGTGTTACCTGAACCACGGCACCGTGGCTGTCGCCTCTCACTGGAACCTCCACCGACGTCCGTGTCAGCTTGTCCTGGTGCAGACAAGTGAGGGCGCATCGGGAACGGGGAGCAGGTCAGAGGTGCAGGTGCAGAAGCTGCTCTCCCGAACGGACTTGCGAGCCGGGGAGCCTTTCCTATTAGTGCATCGTCTACCTCCCTTGGTTTTGGATTCACAGTGGCAGAACCCAGGATGCCCATGAGGACTTGGAGTCAAAGTAGCCCCGCAGAGTTGGACAGCAAAAGACAGCCAGTTCAGGCTATTGCCAGGTATCGCGCTGTCCCTCAATGTGAGGGGGCCGCAGGCGGAGGACGGGGGAGGGCCCCTGGGGGAGCGTACCTCCAGCACGGTGGAAAACCCAATCACGGCGCCCTGACGCACAAGAGCCATGTACTTGTTGCCAAGGAGACTCGTCGTAAACTTCACTTGGACTGTCGTCTCGTTCTTCTTACAGGCGGTGATGTTGGGATCCCACAGACTGCCTGTGAGTTCACAGAGAGTCCGGCCGATGGACCTGCCCACCCGCCCCTCACCTGAGACCCCACAGGAGCCTCACGGAAGCAAAGCAGCATTCTCAGACACACATCCAAGAGAGAACCACCTGGCTGCTGCCGCACGGGCTGCTGCTTTTTAAGCACTGCTCACTGAGTCGCCAAGTACCTTTTGCTGTCCAAGAAAACCTGGGGACCCCCACGCCATTACTTTGCTCAGAATAGCTTCCTCGGGCCAAGGGTGGCACGAGGCACACATCAGGTCCCGTTGCTCACTTGTGTCAGGCTTGGTGTAGGGCGGAGCCCACTGCCGTCCCTCCCGCAGCGTGGGGAGGAGGAGCCACAGGCTAGGAGAGCTGCCCCAGGTCAGGAGCCAGGGAACCAGGACCAGGGCGACAGGCGCTAGAACATTCTGCACTGCAGGTGGGTCGTCCATCCAGCCCTCCTGCCCCAGTTTCGCAGGATGCAGAGAATGAAAGCAGTGCCCCCAGCCTAGAGGCTGCCCCACAGGTCGGGTCTGCGGAAAGAGGCAGCTGTACACTGATGTGACTTGCAAACGAGGGCCGGGGAAGCGACCAGGAAGCCCAGACAGAACAGCGTGTGTTATCTCACGCCCTGCTCAGACCCGGTCCTAGTAAAGAGTGCAAAGCCAGGACTGACATGGAGGCCCTCCGGACTCCCCAGGTCTCTGTGGCAGGCAAGAGAGGAAGTGCGGTGCCTGGAGTCTGACCCAGTCTGACAGGTTTGTGTGGGCCAAGGATGCCTAAAGCATGGGCCTGCCCCTCTGAACACCGCAGCATCCAAGCTACTGCTCAGAAATTTACATCATGGGGCTGGCGCCTTTGGTACTGCTATCCCACGTGGGTGCCGTTCGAATTCCAGCTGCTCTGCTTCTGAGCTAACTCCCTGCTAATGCGCCTGGGAAAGCAGCAGAGGATGGCTCAAGTGCTTGGGCCTCTGCACCCACATGGGAGACCCAGATGAAGCTCCTGGCTGCTGGCTTCAGCCTGCACCAGCTCTGGCTGTTGCAGCCATTTGGGGAGTGAACCAGCAGATGGAAGATTCTCTCCGTCTCCCTTGCCTTCCCCCCCACCCTGTAACTGCCTTCCAGATAAATAAATTTAATTTTTTTTAATTTGTATCAGGTAGTAAGTACTCACTGTCCTAAAGTGGCTTGTTTTTTTCTTGTAATGAAACAGTACTTTTTCTTTGATGATTATTTTTATTTATTTGGGAGGCATAGAGAGAGGGAGAGAGATGGAGAGAGAGATATCTTCTGTCCTCTGGTCACTCCCCCCAAATGCCTGCCTTGGCCCAGGCTGGGCCAAGCTGAAGCCAGGAGGCCAAGGCTGTATGTGAGTCTCGAGCAGGGGAGGCAGAAACCCAAGTACCTGACCCATCACCTGCTGCCTCCCTGGTACATTAGCAGGAAGCTGGATCAGAAGTGGAGGCGGACTCCCTCCCAGGCATTCTGACACGAGCATCTCAAGTGGTGGCTTAACCTATTGGGCCACATTGCCCACCCCTAAAGGCTCTTATTAAAAAAGTAATGTGTGGTGGGCATTTGGTACAGCAGGTGAAGCCAGTGCATGGGACTCCCAGGGGATCCCATACTGGATCCCCTGGCCTTGGGTCAGCTTCCTGTTGACATGCTCCTGGAAGGCAGCAGGTGATGACTCAAGTACTTGGGTCCCTGCCTCCCACATGGGAGACCCAGATTGAGTTCAGGGCTACTGGCTTTGGCCTGATCCAGTCCTAGCTTTTGTGTGCATTTGGGGAGTGAGCCAGCATTCGGGAGATCTCTGTCTCTATGTCTTCTCTCTCAGCCTTTCAAATAATAAAAAAAAAAAAAAAAATCCGAGGGGTAGGGAGTAGCTTTATTGATTGATTGATTTGAAAGGCAGAATTACAGAGGGAGAGGCAAATGCAGAGAGAAAGAGAATGAATCATCTTCCATTTGCTGGTTCACTTCCCAAATGGCTGTAATGGCCATGGCTGGGCCAGGCCGAAGCCAGGAGCCAGGAGCTTCATCCCGGTCTCCCGCATGGGTTCAGGGGCCCAAAGACTTGGGCCATCTCTTGCTGTTTTCCCAGGCGCATCAACGGGGAGCTGGATTGGAAGTGGAGCAGCCAGGACTTGAACTCATGTGGGATGCCAGTGCTGCGCTTTACCTGCCATGCCACAGTGCCTGTCCAGGAGTGGCATGTGAGAGGTGAGCCCCTTTGAGGACACCAGTTGGAATCTTGCCTCTAGGTTACAGCTTTGCTAACATACCCGGCTAGAATGTTTGCTAACATACCCGGCTAGAATGTTTGCTAATCCAAACATACGGTACCCAAGGCCCCGCGGCCACAGGTCAGGGGTGCCGGTGTCTGAGCAGGTGAAAGGGCTTCCAGGACTCCATCCAATCAGGAAGGGCTGCTGGCCCGTGCCACTGTAAGTGTGGTTTTGGCTAAAACGCCAGTAACCGAGGGGGTGGGGCTAATTTCCTGGGACCGTTGTTCTACTACATAAACCTAGAGGTCCCTGCACTGGCTGCTGGACTCTGTGGCTCGTGTCCAGGAGCCCTGGGTGCTTCCGCTCATCCTCTGAGCAACCAGAATGCATCACTCCCCACCTAGGCCTCAGTTACATCACCTGTAAAAAGATGGATGGAGCTGGGCAGGCTCAAGCTAGGAGCGTCTTCAAATAACAAACACTACCTTGACTTACCTGCCTCGATGCACTTCTTTTTATATTTCATGATGTGGTCTAGGCAGCCTGGAAATTTGAATGCAAAGTTTTTACGTTTTAGAGAAAGGTGTACCTGCCCCTTTGCCAACAGGTACGCACACACACGATACGCGTATCACCGCTGTAACAAATTGCCAAAGCACTCCAGATGCAAGGTAGCCAACCTGAAACATCTTACTGTTAAAGTGCAAATCTTCTGCCCAGGCAGTCAATTTCAGTACAACCTTCACCACAACAGGATGTGTGATCCCCGAGAGAAGACTTCAAACCAACTGTCCTTTAACAATGAGCTTTGCTCCTGTGAGTACTGCTCCTTCCAGTGGAGCTTAATCTACCTCTGCCCCCCACCTCAAGGTGGAATGGGCTTGGTGACTTGTTTCCTAAGCTAGAGTTGGGAAAGGCACCTGCTGTTAAGAGATGACATGTGATGGAGGCGAGCCTGTCTGGTGGGGTCCTGTGGAAGCCATGCACCCTGATGGGGTGTGAAAGACCCAATACATCTCTGGTGTTCTTCCCAAACCCGCATCCCCTTTCCAACCTTCAGAAAAACATCAAACCCAAAACTGGGTAAGAAGATGCCTGGCTAGCACTTGTGCCTGTCAAGGTCATGAGAAACAGACCAAGACGCTGGGACAGGCCAGAGGAGACTGGGGCAACACCGGGGACTCCAGACAACAGAAAGAAGACATTCGTGGAAAAGCAGGTGAAGTGCAAATCAGGTCTGGAGTTTAGTGAACAGGGCCTCCCTGACAAGCACATCACGGCCGTGGGGGACATTAACGCAGGAGAAACCGAGCAGGAGGTAAACTGGAGCTCCATGCTGCCTTTGCAACTTTCCCATAAATCTAAGAGTATTCCAAATTTTTTTAAAAGTTTTAAATGAGAAAAGCTGGAAAGAAATGACTGTGTAATAAATGATAAATTGCCAAAACACACCTTGGACCGCAGTCTCAGAGAGCAACAATGAATCGGAAGTTGCCCCATTTGGCTTCAACATCTTGCCTCAGAGGCAGGCGGCTGCAGAGCCGGGGCTGGGGCAGAGTCTGCCTCAGGGACAAACAGCAGCTAGAGCGCATTGATCTAGAAGAACTGGAGTTTGAACGTCAGCTTCACCTTACTGCGTATGTAGTCCAGGGCAAGGGACTTAACCACCTATCTTTTCATCTGTGAAATGGGGCCATCCCAAACCTGGTGTGCTCGGGGGCGGGGTGGGGGGGGGCGTGTCAGGTGCTCAGCACGATGCCCAGTTCAGGAATGGGCTGTTTCCTGCCTGCTGCCTGTGAGCACAGTGCGCTTACTCCGTGTCCATTTCACAGGTGAGCTCACCGAGACTGAGCGAGGCCAAAGTTCAGCATTCCCAGGCTCTCTGAATCAAACCACATAACCCCAAAGCAGTTGTCCCGGGCAACAGAGCCTAGCAGGAGTCAGGGAAAGCTTACCTGGGGAGGTGAAGTTCACTGACAGAGAAGGGCCATCTCCGTTCATGTTTGCGTTGGGGATGTTATGGGCCCCGATGAAGTACAGTGTGTTCAGCTCCACAGGGAAGCCCACGTAGGAAAACGCCCACTGGGAAGCAAAGCAAGGAGCCCTGAATCCGAGGGCACTGTGCTGCGGGTACAGGGCCTCCTCGTGTGTGACCCCGCTCCTCATTCCGCTGCTGAAGCCCACGTCTGCAGCCAGTGTCTGCTGCAGGAATGGACCCCGTCCAATTGGCCCATGTCACTCACCAAGGCGGGCAAGTGTAACATTTTTGAGCCAAAATGTGGCTAAGTCCAGCCACCCTGACTGCCATTGGAGACCCTGAGGCCAAGGGCTGCTGACCTGGCCACGATACAGAGCAGGGAAGTAGCCAGAAATGGGACGTGAGCCCTGGGCATGCAGTGGCCAGCTCGGCTCCGTGGCTGCCCAGTGGCCCCCCGCTGCAGTGAGAGACAGGCTCGTGCCCCCGAGTGCTTACTTTGTGCCCCGAGGATCTGGTCTGACTCTGGAAGGCCTCTGTGTAATTGCACCGCACACAGCTATAGGACTGCAGGCTGCTTTTGCCCGTCACGCAGATCTTGGTGGCCTTCAGCACGCGGATGCTGGCTGCCGAGACAGGCGGGAGAGCGGTCGGCTGCGTGCTCGCACCTGTGTCGGCTCAGTTCACATTCACGATAGCACCCAAAGGTGGGCACCAGTGTCCCCAGTGATGGGGAGGGGGGGATGGGAGTGAGGCCGAGGAAGCTTCAGGGAGCTCTGCCTAAGCACACCAGGCTCAGCGGCAGCAGATAGGAATTCAGATTCCAAAGCTCATGCTGCTTCCTCCTCACAGGTCAGCTCGAACCTCCAAGGTGACCTGAGCTCTGCACTTATCCTGGATCTCTTGTGTTTATTTATTTGTCTAAGATACATACACAGCGGGCGGGGGGAGAGAGAGCTTGCACTCACTGGTTTACCTCCCAGATGCCCACAACTGGTGGGACTGGGCCAGGCCAAAGCCAGGAGCCAAAAACTGCACCCAGATGTTCCACGTGGGCGGCAGGCACTGTTACCTGAAGCCTCCCAAGGTGAGCACTAGCAGGAAGCTGGGATCAGAAGCAGAGCCAGGACTTGATCCCAGGCCCTCCAGTAGGGGCCGCGGGCATCCCAAGGGGCAGGATTAACCCGCTGCACACAGGAGTAGCTGTCCCTTTATCCTGAATCTAAGGGGGACAGGCCTGCGTCGAGGAACTCCACAGAGCGCCTGCCAGGGTGTCATCACTATGCCAGGCTGATCTCCCGGGCATGGCCGTTTCTCCCATTCGCTACTTCTCAAAGTCTCATCCCTTTAAAGCCAACTCCTGCCGCACAGAATATGGCAGCGAAGAGACCAGTCTGTGCTGGATACGAGGCCAAACCTTGCTGCATCATCTCGCTTCGGGTAGTCTCCCGAGGGTGTGTGTCCTGGGCCTCGTGATGGATCTGCACACTGGTGACGAGTGAGCAGGTCAACAAACACCCCAGGAGGCCCCTCCCAGCCCGAGCGCTCTCGGACTTCCTGCCCGCCTTGCCCTTGCCGTGAATGCAATCACACGAGCAGCTGTGGCCCTGCGCACAGCAGTGAGCGTGGGAGCCTTTCGGAGCCTGGCTGCTCGGGTTCGACATCCACGCTGCCGTGCACCTCTGGAGCTTCATTCCCTCCGCTCTGTTGGGTTCCCTCGTCATTCCATTCTATCGCGGACATTGAGCATCTTCCAATCTTTGGCTACAGGCAGTCTCGTTTGTAGCTCTAGGAGCGTGTATGTCTATGTTCCTCTTGCACCGGCCTAGGCGAGGGGTTGGTGGGCTTCTGGTTTAGTGGTCACTTTAGGCCCTCATCTTTGATGGATGCCCACTTACCATCTGCCCGGAGAACCCAGCTTACGTTCATCAAAACCGAGTAGTCCTCCACTGCAACCTTGGTCGTAACAGGTTCCACTCGGAGGTCCCTCAAATCCCCTGGGGTCAGGGTGTGCTGGACCAGCCACTCTGGAGATGGCCCTGGGGAAGGCAAGACTTCCATGACTCTCTTGCCAGCCCCGTCTGATGGTGTCTCCTCCAAGTGGCCCACCTGATGCGTCCCCCGTCGCAGCGTGTCACTCCTTCCTACCAAGGCAGTGCCACTTGTCCCTGGGTGCTGCCTGCTTTCTAGCCAAGGTGATGTTGGCTTGAGAGAAATGCTGTCCCCCTGCCCTGACCCCAAGCTACAGAGCCCTTGGGACCACACCAGGGGCCTCTGTCTGCGTTACATATGCATTTGGTGTTTTGTGACTCTTGTGGTCAGCCCTGCCTTCCCGGTGCTTCAGTCCCGGACTCCGGGCAGCTGGCCCAGACCTGCGCTTTCCTGTCTCCCAGCCTTTGCCAGTACCCTCTGTCCTCCAGCTCACCCACTCACCACATTATGCAAATGCTGCTGTCTCAAACCCCCACTCTTCTATAGAGCATTGACTTCCTGGTCCCCACTCTCAGTGGCCTCCCTCCTGGCTCTCCGCCTCCCTCTGCAAAGTGGCAGGTGCCGCTTCCTGCCCTGCATGGTAGGTCCCACCCTGTGGTGCCCCAGTGACCAGCCAGGAGGTCAGCCCCTCCAAAACCCCTCCATACTCTGCCAGAGTTCTGCCTCGAGCAGATGAGACTTCATCCACGTTCGTCACCAAAGCACTGGGTCTCCCATGACCTACTACCTGGATTCAGGGCCCCTCAAAGTCCCACTGTGCTTTCCATGAAAAGCCCGAGTTCCGGTTCCCCGTGCACCTACCCGTTTCAGAGCCGCATTGAACAGTCTGCAGGAGAGAAAGAAACCAAGTGTCACACTGGAGTCGGCTAACCACAGGCCTGCCTTTGCCAAATCAGGTGAAATGCCATCAGTTTCATTAGAGGCACACATTTTCAAGGAAGAGAGGAGCTGGTTCCAGTTTGCGCTTGGAAGAAGCCAAGCGGCCACCCTGTACGCTGTGGAGGACCCGGGATTAGCCACCTGCCTACGGGGAGCCTGCAGCTGGCTTGAAGAGCAGGGCTGGGTCCCCGCCCGCCTCCAGCGCCCGCCTTCCGTCTGTAGCAGGGGACTATTCCGAACCACGGTGTGGCCCCTTCGCAGGCTGGTGCTCAGCCATGGGTGTTCAGGACGCTGTGGAGGGCTGCCTGCTCTGCATGTGGCCCAGGGGGCTTCCCCAGGTGCTTCTGATACAGGACTCACCGGAGCTATGCAGAAAGCCACAAACAGCGGTCACTGCAGCCAGTGGCAGAGAGCCTCCATGGAAATGAACAGGGACCAAGAGTGTCCCAGAAAGGCCGCTACTACACCTTTCACGATAAAGTGCTCGCATCTCTTCCAAAGAAATCATTAGCACTTTGAATTTCATTGCTGGAGCTTGCTGCTGCCTAAAAGGGAAGTGTTTCTGGTTCTGTGTTTTATCTGCAAACCAATGTATAAGTTCACCAGCTCTGGAACCTGACCCCACCTCCCCCCCAACCCCCACTCCACCTTGCAAAGCAATTTGTTAAGAAACAAGGACGCTTGAAGATTCCAGTGCTTTGGGTTTGGGTGAAATTATCAGTCGCTCCTCCGTTTTCAAAGTGGACTCTAAGGGATGTCACCAGACACTGGTTTTTCAGCAAACAGCACCACAGTGGGAGCTGAGTTCCGGTCAAAGGGTCAGCGGCACACTTTTTGGGAAGAAGTCAAGTGCAAACTCCAACCTTGACAAACTATTGGCCTCGAAGGCAAAGTGAACACTTCCCTTGTGGGAAACGCCAAGAGGGCCTTGGAGCTGAGACCCAGGACATCAGCCAACAGCATGGGCACCAGGGTCAGCCACCACCAGGCTTTGATGCTCTCTGGCACGCTTGAGGGGCAGGGACTAAGGCTTGTGTGCGCTTTGGCGGTGGGCTTTTTCCCCCTTTAATGACTGGGAATCATTCAAGGCACTGGGGCAGGAAGGAGGAAGACCCTTGCTTCCTGTGACCCACCGGTAAAAGGCGGCTCCGGGGAGCATAAGTGCCTCAACAGCCCTGGGTCGGCTTCGGACACCAAGTCTGAGCCTCCGGCCCCGACCCGAACAGCCCGACCCGCCATGGGAACATCGGGCTACGTTGGGCTGGGTCCCTCGGGGTTGCCCCGGGTGCAGACGCCCCCTCCACGAAGCGATCGGGGTTCGAGGGCCGGGGTGGCGAGCAGGGGCTTACCGGCTCTCGGGGCAAGGCGCTCCTGCACAGCGCGGCCAGGCTCAGCAGCACAAGCGACATCACCGCCCGGCCAAGGCCCGCCACTTCGCGGAGCTCCGCACCAGCACCACCCCCACCTCGGGGCTCCGCCTCCCGCAGAGCCGCCGCCCGGGCAGTGAGCGGGCTGGCCGGCCGGCCCTTCGCAGGGTGGGGAAAGTGGCAGCGCCCTCGCCCACGGGGCTCGGAGGGATGGGCCGGGTGCAAGCGGCGGGGAGCTCTGGGCAGGCGGCGCACGAGCGGCTACGGCGCGCGGCGGCCCCTGCGCACAGGTGCGCTCGGTGAGCCAGGTGCGCCGATCGTACTCTCGCCCCGGGGTCTCCCTTCCGGACGCAGGGAGCGCGCGGGGCTCTGGACAGTCAGTTACAGCGCAACGGAGCGCGAGCAGCCGCCGGCGGCACCAGCTGTCCCGGTACTCGGGCCGGGCTGCAGAGGGTGAGTGGCGGGGAGCGCGGCCCGGGGCTGGGGGTTTGGCGAGTCTGGAGGGCCGGGCGGGGCGCCGGGCCCTCGGACACAAAAGGGGGTGGGGCGCTGGTGCCCAGCAAGCCTCGTTGACTTATTTGGGGTGTGTGTGTTGGGGGGGGGCGGTCCTGCGCCGGGAACTGAGTCGACAGTCGAGCGGCAGAAAGCCCCTCCCCGCCGCTCCCCCCGGGGCACTGCTCTCGGGTCTCTGAAGCGGAAGCCTGTGCGCTGTGGTTTGGGGGCCGAGAGGAGGCTCCTGCCCGCTGGTCTGGGGGAGACCACGGGATCTGCTTTCCCCAAGTCCCGCGCCCCTGCCCCTCTCCCCCGAGCTCCGGGGTGGGTGTTCCGGGGGGCCATCCTCTGAGCCAGGTTTGCGGGAAGGGTAACAGAACCTGTCCGTAGCTCGGAAGTGAATGTGGCCATGCTCAGGGTCACTGAAACCTGGCTGCATTAGCTCCATTGTGCAGATGAGAAGGCAGAGGCCTAGATAGGGATGGGAATTTATGGGTGGGTGGTCAGCGGGTGAGCTTGAGCCAAGCAGCTGTTTTTGGTTGAGGCCCTGTTGTGTGCCTGGGGTGGGGCCTGTGTGTGTGTGTTCCGCATCTGGGGCCCCAGGACATGGGACTCCTGACCAGGAAAAGCAGCCCGGCTCCCCTCTGCCTGGTGCTGGGCCTCCGGGGGCCCCTCGCACAACCTCTCTGAGTTGCTCTGGGGCTGTGGTCATGCAGGTCCTTCGTTTCTGTCCAGCAATCGCCTGCTGGGTGGCAGGTTTGGGGTGCAAAGGTGAACCAGCACACGGGCACTCTGGGAATGAGACCGAGCGTGGTGAGAAGCGGAGGGCGGTGGTGCATGCGTCGGCTAGTTTGAGATCCTGAACTTTGTCCCAGGGTGCCCAGGCCAGCGTGGCTAGGAATGCCCCCTGCGTGGCTGCGAGGAGGGAGTTGTTCTCCCACTGTGTTTGCTAACAGAGTTCTGAGTCCTTGCTGCAGGCCAGGCCCCGCTGCAAGGGCCTGGGGCTTTTGAGTGTCAGGGTTCAGAGTGGGACCTGGAGATCTGGGAGGTGGGGAGGAGAGCCCGCCTGCAGGTGAGCGTCCCCCAGGCCAGGACTGAAGGGGGGGTTGGGAATGCAGCCAGAAGAGCTCCCCCATCAGAGGGGAGGTGCTCAGGGAGTCTCCTGTGCCAGAGAGCTGGTGCATGGGTGGAAAGGGGGTGGGGCGTGGGCCCAGAGGTGCTTTGTTTTAAGAAGGGGAGGGGCTGGGATTCTTTCTCCAGGTGGAAGCTGGTGAGCCAAGGAGAGAGGCAGAATGAGGTGGGGGTGGTGTGGAGGTGGCCAAGCTCACAGCCTGAGTGCCCCTACCCCGCCCCCACTGTCTTGGAGCCAGAGTTGACAGCCAGAGTTGGTCTCCTGCGGCTTTGGGCTGGGGCTCTGTAGACAGGACGGTGAGAGGGTCTGGAAGGAGAGGCTGTGAGGAGGGCCCTGCAGCCTGCGCTGGCCAGCCCCGTGAGTGGAGTCACGCGTCCCCATCTCCTCCTGTGGATTCCCACGCCTCCAGGGTCCCTCTCTGAGAGGGCCTTGATGAAACGGGAGGAGTCAGCGCCGCCTGCTGGAGGGGACGGTGTTGGCAGCTTGCCTCGTCCCTGCCCTGGCCCTGTGTCAGGCTCCTCTTGTGTCAGATGGAGTGGATGAGGCCGGAGAGTGGCAGTGAGGTGATGCAGCCGGGGACAGATGGCCCCCAACAGTCTTCAAAGGTCTGCTGAGCCTGGGCTTGGCGTCTGGGGGCTGGCGCTCATTACTCGTTTGAATGAATGAATCAAAGCAGGTCTTCCTTGAAGGCCAGGGCTTAAGCCTGCCCACCCAGGAGAGTTGGTTTGTCTACCTCGTCTTGGTCCACAGGTAGGGCAAAGGTCAGGGCTCCTTACAGAGCCCGGGAGGCAGCTGTGCCTCAGACCCCCTGGATCTGTGCCACCTCGGGGGGTCACGGCTCTCTGGTTCTCTGACTCGCCCTCTGTTGGCCTTAAGCGCAGCTGTTGGTGTTTTACAGCCTCAGTTTCCCCATCTGGAACACAGGGCTGATGTCAGCCCTGTGTCCCCAGCAGGGCTGTTAGGAGACTCAGAAGAAAGACAAGGCAGGAGAGAAAGTCTCGGGCCTTAAAACTGTGCAGATTTAGGGGCTGGGGAGGCAGGGCAGTGAGAGAGAAACCTGTTATCTCCATGACCCTGAAAGAGATATCCTGTTGGGCCCAAGAGTAATGACAGTGCCCGGGCCCTGTCCGCGCTCAGCAGCTGCCTGTGTCATCTGCGAGAGCAGAAGGGCGGGACAGTTGTTGACATGTCCTAGGTCCAGCCTGCGCCCACACAGGTGGAATTTTCCACTTGGTTCTCTTGCAAAGATTAATCAAGGCCCTGGCTGGTCAACAGTGGATTCATTGTTTCTTGGCAGGGACACCCCTGGAGCTGGGAGAGGAGCAGCTGGGGGTGTGCCCGGCCTCAGGGCCTTCCACCCTGAGCCCTGTGTTCTGCTCCAGCTGGTTGGGCTTGGTGGACTCAAGTTTAACTGGTCCTCGAAGCCACCCCGCAGGCATGCACCCGTTGTTCCCAGGAGGGCTGCAAACTTATTCTCTACTGCAGTAGGAGAGGCTGGCCTGGGAAAGCCCGGGGGTCCTGTTTCCCAGTCTCCCGGGTTCCCAACTTGGTTTCCACGCGTGTTGTTTTCACACTGGGACATCACAGAAAGTCCAGAACGCGGCAGAGGCGGGTGCTACTGTTCCCACGCAGTCCCGAGGGGCTTCAGGGAGGTCACCCTAGACTTCAGGGGCAAAGCTTGAGCACCGTGCTGGCCACATGGAGCCGGCCTGGTGATACTTTTGTGAAATCAGAGCATGATGATGTTATTATTCATAAGTCAGAGCAGAATGGAACTCAGCTTGTTAGCGGAGATCCGAGTGGGGTTCTCTTCTTCACACAAGAAAGAATTCCTGAGTGAGAGAGAGAGCAGTGGTAAGCAAAGTAGCAAGGTTTACTGGGGTGGGGCATGGTCAGAACGGATGCGACAGAATCCGAGAGTCACTCAGGCCGGGGAAGCAAGGCTGCATGGTTACATGCAGAGAATACACCTGGCAGGGAGGCGGCAGCTCAGGAGAGCTGAGAGCTGGGCACACGCCGTCTGGGTTCAGACTGGGGCTTATAAGGGACAGGGGTTCAGCTCTCCTCCTCCTCCTCCTCCTCCTCCTCCTCTTCCTCCTCTTCCTCCTCCTCCAGGACAAAGGGTTTGCTGAGTGCAATTTAGAATCCCCCCCACCCCAGGTCCTTGCACTGGGCAGGGGAGCCTCCCTTAGGTCGGCTGTCTTGAAGGAAGAGTGTGATGGATTTATTGCTCAGTGTTACCAGGCCAGGTACCCTGTTTAGTGCTGAGAGGAGAGGAGAGAGAATTGTCCCAGAGGAGCTTCCTGACAGGCTCGTGCTGTGCACTTGATAAAACCCCTTCCTGCTTCCACATTCCTCTGCATCCACCCACATGTGTTCTTAGCCCTCTGTGAACTAGGAGATGGGTGGCTCTAGTCCCACTTTGCAGATGAGGACCCCGAGGCCGGAGATGTGAAAGCAGGAGTGGCGGCCGAGCTGAGGCTGCAGCCCAAAGACCTTGACCACCAGCCACGTTCACTTTTTTTTTTTTTTTTTTTTTTTTTTTTTTTAATTTTTGACAGGCAGAGTGGACAGTGAGAGAGAGAGACAGAGAGAGAAAGGTCTTCCTTTGCCGTTGGTTCACCCTCCAATGGCCGCCGCTGCAGCCGGCGCACCGCGCTGATCCGATGGCAGGAGCCAGGATCCAGGTGCTTTTTTCCTGGTCTCCCATGGGGTGCAGGGCCCAAGCACCTGGGCCATCCTCCACTGCACTCCCTGGCCATAGCAGAGAGCTGGCCTGGAAGAGGGGCAACCGGGACAGAATCCGGCGCCCCAACCGGGACTAGAACCCGGTGTGCCGGCGCCGCAAGGTGGAGGATTAGCCTATTGAGCCACGGCGCCGGCTCAGCCACGTTCACTTTTAAAACAGAACAGCCTGAACGTAGACGCCCGGCACTCGGCACAGGGGCTGCACGCGAGTGTGAGGTCGTTCCCTAAGTCTGTGCTGGCGATGCACGGGTGCTGGTCGATGTCTTAGATTAGCCCCAAGCTCCGGGCTTGTTTCTATGCTGTAGTTTGGCGACAGAATACTTGGCAGTGGAGAGAAAGCAGCCGTCTTCTTTCTCCTTTTTCTTGTGTAAAGCAGCGTGATTTGTAGTCTCGGGCCCCTCCGCAGCTAGGCTGATCCCGGAGGTGGGAAGGGGAGCTGTGGTGAGGCTTTCGTGAGAAAGCTGGCTGGGTCGCCGCGCTGCCAGGGGGCCTGGGCCCGGGCCAGCACTCGGCACACTTCCTGGGCCTTGCTGGCCCCGGCCGGAGGTGGCTCCGCTTGCCCTGGTGTGGTAGCAGGCGAGTGGGTGTGGATTGAAAAATCCAGCAGCCTGGGAAGGGTGTTAGGGCACTGGTTTGGGAAGCCCGCATGCCGTATCAGAGTGCCTGGGTTGGATTCCTGCCTCCAACTCCCAGTGCAGACCCTGGGAGGCAATGGTAAGGCCTCAAATAACGGGGTCCCTGCCACCCAGGTGGGAGACCTGGATGGAGTTTCATGCTGGCTCCTGGCTTCGGCCTCAGCTACTGTGGTAGGCACTTGGGAGTCACCCAGCGGAGGGGAGCACTCTGTCCGTCGCTTTCTCTGCCACAGGCTTGCAGTGCTCCTGCTGCTGACCTTGCTGTGTTAGGAGGAGGTACTGGAGTCTGGGCAGCAGACGTGGGCCAGGAAGCTCTGTCCCAGGGTCCCTGGCAGGCCACGTAAGCTGATGGATTTGGGGTCTCCAGAGGGTTCCTATCTGGTCCCTAACAGAGCTTGTCAACCTCTCTGTAGTGAAGGACCAGATGTTAAATTTTAGTCTCCTGC